AAAAAAAAAAAACTCTTAGTGTAGTGTGTGACATATATCAAGCACTCAAATAATGAGTCTCTCAGTATTATTTGTCAGTCTGCATCTACCATAAAACTTGTCTTCATTTCTGTGCAAACCTACTGCCTGCCCTACCCAGCCCACAGTAGATAGATACTCAGCAGAAAAAGCTTCTGGGGGCCCTCCATAGTGGCACAAGTGGTTAAAGTGCAGCACTATGAAGTGATCTGCAGCCACTGCAGCACAAGTTCAATCCCCAGCCAGGGTGGTGACCCGCATGGCGTGGCAGACCAATCCTGACCCGCCACCCTCTGTTCCCCTCAGCAGTGTACTCTGTCGATCTGCCTGTTCTGCTCCCCACTCTGTCTCTGGTGAGACCCCTTACCATCCACACCTCTGGCCTATACCCCAGCTCTCATATGCATAAATAAATAAATCTTTAAAAAGAAAGAAAGGAAGAAAACAGCCTCTGGGGAACCCCCAAGCTAACTGAAGTCCAGAAGTCCTGAGGAACAAATTCTCTGACACTTGGCTGACCACAACAACTGGCAGCAGAGTCAGTACCAGAAATGGGCTATTTTCTGGTCTCCCTCTGTGGTGGCTGGGCTCTCCCCCCCTGCTTGTCACTGCTCCCAGTCCAGACAGAGGCTCTTTCATCTTTCTCCTACACACAATGACCTCTGCTCTGAGATGTCACTTAGGGGTCCAAAGGTTGTAGAGTTCCCTGTGGTCAGGGATGCCAAGCATGCTATGCCTGAATTCTGCACATCACATCACCACAACTCCTGTTTGCTGCATGGTGACTGGCTTTGAAAAGTTAGACCCCTCTCCTGAAGTGTGAGTTAGGTTGATGAGTGACCAAAAGAGCTGGGAGTACACTTACGTCACAGTAGACTGTCTGTCCTCTGCCAAACCCCCTTTATCTTTCACAGTCTCTACAGTTACTCACTCTGATCTTTAGGTACTCTCCCCCATTTCTGCTTATTAAACCCTACCCATTCTTCAACGTCCAACCCAATACCTTCTAACCCAGGAAGCCATCTCTATTGCTTAAAAGTGCTTGCACTGGGGCCCTCCCTGGGGGTGCAGCGGGTTAAAGCACAGCACTGAGAAGCTTAAGCCACTTCCACATGAGTTCGATTCCCGCCTGCCCCGGAGGAGATCCACATGGTGAGGCAGACCTCTCCTGACCTGCCCGCTGCTCCCCTCAGCAGTGTACTTCATCAATCTGCCTGTTCTGCTCCCCACTCTGTCTCTGGTGAATCCTCTCACCCTCCACATCTCTGGCCTGTACCCCAGTTCTATATGAATAAATAAATAAATCTTTAAAAAAAAAAGTGCTTGCACCGACTCCTAACCTTTCATTCTGGACTTTTTTTATAATTTAGGATATGAGGTCACCTCCAACATGTGATGTGGTTCAAAGATTATATCTGGGACTCAGGGAAAGTCAGGAAAAGGAAGTCACAAAAGCAGCAACATTCAGAATCAAGTCATTTGCTAAGACCTACCCTAATTACCTGACAAGAGTCTGTACCTTTCAGGGTCCTTCTGAATCATAATGTCTTTTATGAGAACTGCCCTTCTCTAATAGCCCTGGGAACCTATAGTTTCTTTAGTAGTGTGTAAATCTATGATTGCTTTACCTAGCTGATAGCTCTGGGAGGGACCCTGGACACTGAAAACCTAACCTAGAACCTGTGCAAGAACTACCACATTTCTCAAGAACTTGGTATTGAGATGGGAGACCATTTACTAGACCTGAAAGGTCTTGCAAAGGAATTAAGTCTGCAGAGAGAATGAAGTAGATGGCCCAAGGCTCTACCCACCCACCCCCGCCCAAGTCTGGCTGAACTTTCTGGGACTGACATTCCCCCTTTATTAAGTAATTTTAAGATATCTATCACTTGCAATCACAAGACCTTAGCTAAAAGATGCTGATTTTCTTTGACAGCATGACTTTTTCAAGGTCCCTAAAAGCCTAAGTTACAGATTTCCAACCTGGAGTTCATATCTTGAATAGTTGAATCTCTCAGGGGAAGCCTCATCCCTAATTTAATCCAACTATTGGAGGGACAACCAGTGCCACCATAAATAAATAAATCTTTAAAAAAAAAAAAAAAGGGAATGAAGCACTTGGTACCCAAAGATATCCTCCCAGGAGTGACATTAGTAAACACTGCCAGTTAACTGAATTCCTCCTGTACTAGGCACAATGCTAAGTGTTATCATTGTTTCCAGTCTTCAAAACAACCATGAGTAGTTACATATTTTATAATCATCTAACTTAAACATACAAGGAGAACAAAACAAACAAAACTTCTTGCTTACAGGTTCTTAAAGAAATAGGAAGTCAAAAAAGGGCCAACCCAAACCATTAAAATTCATTTGAATATTAGTTGATACTGCCAATTGCTTTTGGTTTAAATTAAATTGTTAGTGTAGTATTTATTAAAAACCAAAGATAAACAAAAATAGCATTCCTTTATGTTAGGTATGCCTATTGGCATCCCCACCATAAATGAGAGATGAGGGGTCAGATAGGGAAGAATATTCCCAAGATCAAAGAGCTAGGTGTTATAATCAACCAGGAAAACCAAAAACTCTCAACTTTCTAATCTTGAGGTTCACCCCTTTATCAACATGATAACTTATGAATGGGCAGGAACAGATCTTGAAAAACACTCACAGCCTGGCACAGAACAAGAGGTTGTTAAGTGGTGGTTGAATGAATGAGTGAATGAACAAATGAATGAATGAGTGAATGGGAGAATTTCAAGGTAATTGTTTAAAAGTCAGCTGAATCCACCCCAAATTGTAGAAGCCTGTATTTAGCACTTTCTACTTACCACTGCATCCAGCAGTCCTTCCTACCTCGTGCCCAGAAGCTAGTCTAATGGCATTAACCATCCCAGCCAGCCAAGATAGCATTAAAAGCGTCAGTCCAGTCATTGTGCCCCCACCCTAGGTCTTGGCTCTGGGCCCTGGGCTGGGAGAGTGGTCTGGTTGTTTACCAGGAATTTGGACCTTCTTCAGAGAAAAGCACAGATGACCTATTAGTCTAATTCAAGCACTTAGCAAGGAATGACTGTACCATTCACACCCCCAGCCCCAGGCTAATGGAGTCAAAGCAAATGGAGAGGTTTTGACTGCTCTGAGATCTTCCTGGCAAGGGAGGAAGGGAAAAGTCCACCCCAATGCCCCACTGGAGTTTGCAGGGAAGCAGGTTGGCTGATATTTCCAGGGCAGGGTGGACTATGAGGATACAAGAACACACCAGGGAGGCTCCCCTACTTGTACCCACCAGTCTGGCAGTTGCTCGGCACATCCTACCCACCAGTCACTCTTCACTGCCTTAAAACTTGACTGGGAGGAAAGTGGGAAGACAACCAAATAACCATCATTTTAGAACTTCTTAAGCAAACTATGTTTGAATATACACACAAGTCCATGTTATGCAGATGATAAAAATGACAATGTAACTCAAGTTCTAGACATGGATGCTGAAAAATGTCTTTGCTATGGAGTGTCTGACCCTATTTATGGAAAATTATACTTACCCAAAGATTTTCATGCACACAGATGTGCAGGGAGTTGTTTGGAAGTTTGAAGGTGGGATTTTAAAGATTGTTGCTTATTTGTAATTGTATCATTCAAATTCTCTACAAAAACTACATACTATAATTGCTAACTTTTTTGAGTTCTAACTATTGTGTCCCATGTCAAGACACAATGCTCTTATGTCAGATACAATGGATTATCTCATTCCTTATGAGGTGGGTTCTATTCTATCCATGTTACAGCAGTGGATAATGAGGTCCAGAGAGGTTAAACTAAAGTTCCCGTATCTAGTGACTGACTACAATGTAAAGTTGTTGGAGGGTTAAATGAATTCACACATGAACTTCCACACAGTAGAGGCTCAGTAAATGAGGGCTATTGTTATAATTAATGTATAGCACTTACCACACTGCATTATTCTTAGTGACAGTCTTGTCTGTTTCCCTGTTCTGGTGTATAAAGACTTGAAAACACGATCTGAGATTTATCACCCCAATTCTCCTGCACCAAGCATAGCACCTTGTAAATTCGGCAATCATCAGATGCCTATGGAGTGAGCAAATGAATGAACAGACAAACGTCCACAACTCTATAAGTATATTCTTCCAACCAGTTTACAATGGTAGGCAGAACTACAAATGAAATCAAGGACCAGTTTCCCCTTAAGCTCAATAACATTACTAGATGTTCAGTAAATGCTGTGCCTGATTAAGCACTGTGCATTCTCAGCTGCTGTAGTAGATCCCATACAGTATATGGCTAAGGTAGAAGTGATACCAGGTTCACAGCCTCACATGCGCTGTATTTTCTCCCATCTCCAAGTCAAGTACAAAGAGGCTGAGAGACTTGCCTGAGGTCCTACAGCAGTGGGTGGGAGAATTATGGTCTCCTGATCACCTGTGCACTCTGTAACATCTCTAGTTCTGTAGTAATTCACAATGTGAGACAATGGGATAAGAGCAAAGTTTTAAACAAAATGTTTAATGATCCGAGAGACTGGGAAGTCTTTTCAGGCAGTAGCAGGAAGAAAGCAAGGCCCAAATTCTCAGGTTCCTGATGCTCAAATGTTTAGCAAGACCCCAGGGCAGGCAGCTGGTTCCCATCACCCATTCAGAGAAGATAAGGGGACAGGAGTCTTGCTACTTCTTCTTTAATGGAAAATGTCTTTCTAGACTACCTCAAAATACCCAGCACCACCTATTTGGCGAATGCAGTAGGGAATGACTGTTGATCCTGGTGGGCAGGAGGAAAGGATTAGGAAAGGATCAGGAAAGAGATGGGTAGAGCTGGTCAACACCCAAAGATGTGGTTAAATTATGGTCACCAAGTCCTGATGAGAAGTAGCCTGCATCAGAAAAGAAAGGAGGAACAGAGGAAGTGGGGACTCAGCCAACTGGCTTCTACTGTGGCCTCATATGGAGTCCTAGACCTGCGGGGTAGTGCTAGAGTTACCACGTTGTATACTGCACCTCATTCCTAATGCTTCCCTTTCCTCCTCCCTTGCAGACTGCAAGTCAGATTGGGTATGATAGAAGGGAAAAAGGGCCCCCAGGGAAGTACGGCTACCAGAGGCTCAGGAGAAGAATCCAGGTAAGTATGCAGGAGAAAGGAGAGATCACCCAGGGCTGTAGCCTCAGAGCAGTGTTTTTATTCTGTGGAAGAAAATGGAAGGAAGTTAGTGCTCTCCCCACCACCTCAGCCTCAGTCAAGTCAAGGTCCCCCTTCCCCGAGGTATCCAATAGAGATGTATAGTCTGCTCATGACAAGGAGGTCACACACACACACCCATCTCCTTTGTTTGGATTTCTCCCAGCTGATCCAATAAAAACATGCAGGGTGTAATAGAGGAGGCTCTACCTGGCGTTCCATCACGGAAAATGTAGAGTCTGCCCAGTCCTGGGAGAAAAGTTGGCTGTGAGAACGCATCTGAGCTGCAATGGCCTCCACTAAGGAGAGGAGAGAAGCAGACAGATGCAGACAGTTGCAGGTTCCCAAGAAAGGAAAGGGAAAGCTTCAGGGTTCCTGAGATATAGGAGACCAGGTGGGTGGCAGGTGGGAAGAGAGTATTGCTTAATTCTGTTTGCTTATTCCTTGAGCTAGAGAGTATCCCTGGGGCCTGGGAAGGTTGAAAGAGCAGCCTGAGGGTCATACAGGAAATGAGAAGAAAGAAAGACCCAGGGTAGAGGATGCCTCTGTTGTGGAGGGTATTGCTTTACCTACAGGAGATGGATGGTGAAATATAGGGCTGACCCTTCTCTCCCTGACCTGGCCACTGGGGATGAGAACAAGGGAAGTGTACTCACTGAGGCAGGGGTTGTTGGAGAAGGACCCTTCTAGTTGCTCACAGTCCTCCTGTAAGTTGCCATTGCCCCTGCAGGTGCAGCTTAAAGCCACACTGGTATTGACACTGCTGACAAAGTTAGGGGTCATGACGGTCCCTGTGAGGTGAAAAAGGAATATTAGGACCTACGCCTACTCCAACTTCAGCTCCCATCTACTCCCACCTGCTTCAGGACCACTCATTTGGGTTGAGTCTCCAGAACATTCTTACCCTCAGGATGGCCAATCTATGGGCTCCCTACACACACCCCCAGTCTCACCAATCAGCCCCATGTATGCACGCAGACATCTGGACGGCTCTGTTGCACAGGTCCCTAGGATGTCCATGGGGTGGCAATGAGTCTGAAAATCCACCAAGCGTGACCTAAAAGAGAAATTTCCAGGGTCCCCATTGAGAGTCTGGACTGCAGCCTTCACCTTGCTGCAGACTTCACCATTGCTACCCCTTTAGTTAACATGTTCATCTTCATGACAAATCCTCTCCTTCCCAGGGCTTCCTCCTCAGTGAAGCCTGGTCCTGTCATTATTAGATGTACTACCACCCCAGCCCCCACAGCACATCACTTTGAAATTGTTTTTCACAATCCCAAGTCATGAGCTTTCAGACAGCTTCTTTAACCTCAGTTTCCTAGACTGCAAAAAGAGATGTAAACACCATTGTATTTTGTGAGGAAGAAATTAGAGAAAGCATATAAAGCAATTAGTATAATGCCTGTTAAATATTAAGTGTTTAATGAGTGTTACATATCCTCATTAACACTTATCTTACAATAAGTAGGATTATGAGTATGTTTTCCTTTTATAATTCTGCTATCTAGTTGTCCTTACATTTTTACCTTGTGTTAGACTGGTGGTTTAGTTCTCTTTCACTCCCATTCATTTGTGAACTGAGGAACAATATCTATTTTTCTAGCCAAGCACCTGTCATGTGCTAATAACAGTAAAAGTTACAGCACAATAGGCAGCGTAGCACAGTGGTTAGCAGAACACATTCTAGGCCAAAATCTCTTTATTCCAACATTTCAAACCTCGTTAACAAAACTGATTTATTACCTGGGCGAACGTGAGAAAGTTATAAAAATATTTGCATCTATCTTGCAGAGTTTCTTGAGATGCTTATATGAGTTAATACATGTTAACTACTTAACTAGCCCATAATAATTACTCCAGTAAGTGTTGGTAGTAAGATGATTGATTGTTAAGAAAAATATACAAGAGAAGAAAATGCCTCTGAGGTTGCCTAAAATTATAGAAAGTGATAGAACCAGGTGGCAAAACAAGGTGTGATTTCTCATTGTCAACAAATGTCACTGGAATGGATGATAACTTCAATTTATTGAGTATTTATTTACTCCTAAGAAGGCAGAGGAAAGCCAGGTTAGAATTTTTTATTTTTTTTGGAAAATCTATAGCAAACACTTACAATACTTCATGTCCTTTGATTTGGTAATGGTACTTGTGGCAACATAGCCTAAAGCATAATTAGATTAGAATGAAAAAAGTGATACATATTGCACCATTATTGATAGCAATAGAGGAATGATTAAATAAAGTAGAGGGCATTCATAAAATGGAATATAATGTAGGCATTTAAAAACCAAGCTGCCAAAGGACATTAAATGACAAGATGAGTGCCACCTCTCATTGAGTACTTACTCTACACCAGGAAGCTAAGCACTTTCCATATATTACGTAATTTACTCTCACTGGAATCTCATGAGCGCTACATTATCCCAGTTTATACAGAGGACTAAGTGGGACCTTAGGCTAAGTGATGGAACTTTAGATTAAGTGATGGACTCCAGGTCACAGAAGCCCAGGCTTTAAGTTTCCATCTTTTAAATTCACATCAGCGTCCATCCTGCCTCCATGAGAAAATGCTCATGGGATATGCACTAAGTCACAAAAAGTTAGATACAAATACATTCACAGAATGTCTAACTTTGTTCATCTATGTATTACAAAGGCTAGAAGGGAATTATCCCCCAAATGTGATAGATGATCTTCAGGTGATGGGTTCTGAGTAGCATTTTTTCATACAGTTTTATATTTCCCAAAGTTTTTAAACACAGAAAAAAAACATAATTTTTGATAAGTTTCAGAAAATAATAAAGGTAGCTATGTGGAGAAGTCAGTCCATGAACCAGGGGATGGAGGGGGTCTGACCCAGCCTGACTCAGGAAGGCAGCCTGCAAGGATGCTGCACACTGCCCCTGCCCACCCTGCCACCCACACCCAGCTCAGTCACCTGCACAGTGAATCTGAGAGGCAAAGGTGACGCAGATCTAGGCAGTTGGGGACCCCAGAGGGCAGCGCGCAGCTGGGGGCGATGGTGTTGCGCCGGCGCTGGCCGCAGCCCTGGTCTTCAGGTGCACAAGGGCACAGCAGTAGGCCCTCTGCAAGATGCTCCGGGGCCTTCTCGAAGAAGGTGCGTAACTGCTGCAAGCAGGAGTGGCGCTGACAGCGGGAGCCGGAACACGCCTCTGCATAGGCCTTGCGCAGCCGGTCACATTTGTCATTAAGAGTGCACAACATGGCGAACTTGAGGCAAAGATCCGAGTCTGGAGGGAGAGGGGCACCAAGTCACCAATCCTCTCTGCAAACCTGAGCCCAGTTTCCTCAGGGACCCCCAACTTAAGAAGGATTATGATGGGTGGGAAGAAGCAAGAAAGACTAAGGCAAATATTACCCCTCAAGCAAAGCTTTCCCTCTAACCACAAACTATATGGTATCTAGGGGCTCCCAATCCTAGTCCTCAACTTCATTTGAGTTTAAAAGTTTTTTTATATATGTATGTATGTATGTATGTATGTATATGTGTATATAAATATATATATAGTATATGTGTACACACACACATTTTTTAAAACATCATTCTTCATTTTGTACATTTTTTCATCTCAGTTGTAATTCACCTACGTGCCATGTAATTTTAACATTCATTTGTATAGAATTCAAGTAAGACAGTACAAATAACCAAAACCAAATCCATTGCAGTGAGAGCCTACAGTAGAAATCATAACCTAGAGGTCCCAAGGTATTCCACAGCACTTTATCTACAGTGCAAACAAAGAGATTGGACAATTCTGCTCCCCTCACCTCAGCACCCTCCTAGGATAAAAAACTCTTGGCTGGCCCTCCCTGGTGGCACAGTGGGTTAAAGCACAGCACTAAGAAGCTAAAGCCACTTCCGCATGAGTTCAATCCCCGCCAGCCCCGGAGGTGACCACATGGCACGGCAGACCTCTCCTGGCCCGCCCGCTGCTCCCCTCAGCAGTGTACTTCGTCGATCTGCCTGTTCTGCTCCCCACTCTGTCTCTGGTGAAGCCTCTCGCCGCCCCTGAGCCTCTGGTCTGTACCCCAGTTCTGTATGTACAAATAAATAAATCTTTAAAAAAAAATCACATATTAAAAAAAAAAACTCTTGGCTTTTACATCTATTCTGCTATTCTGTCTATTCTGCTCAGTTTTAACGTTACCTGCCTGTCTTTCATTGATTGATGGGTGTATAGAAATTTTTCCACCCTGAGTCTTGGGAAATTACAGTGCTCTTTCTCCTTACAGAATATTATAGAAGCTAGAACACTAGACTGACTAGAACAGGCTATTCACCTATTCTTTGTAATTCTAAGTTTTTTTGTAATGCTCTCTATTACTCTTCTCTCAGAATTCTAATATATAGAACTCAAAACTCACATTGTTCTAAAAAAATGTGTGTTTCTTTCCAACTAATGCAACAGCCTCAGTTTCCTGAAGAATAAACTTCATGGTCCTTGCCAGACAGATGGTTCTCTGCCTTGACTCACCCCTGAGGACTTAGCATTCTTTTACCATATTCCCCACCCAACACCTCACCCATCTCATTAGAATACCTGAAAACAAGCAATTTCCTAGTCTTCCGGGACAAAAAGCTATTTTCTTAACTGCTTTGGATGAGGCTAAATATTCCATTTTGGCACTTTTTCTCCCCCCAGAACTACAAGCACTCCCATACACGCCTTTATAGAGACCCACCTTTAGAAGCTGGGCATCCTAGTTAGCCCTGTTGAAGTGACTTCCTAACAAGATTTGCTCCTTGCTGATTTGCCAGACAGACCATGTTCACAGTTCAGACTCTCATCATGACCCAGTGCTTCCTTAGTTACCTGATAGGCAAGAACTTCTCCCCCATATCTCTCCACTTGTGTTCCCTATCAGCCACCCTTCCTCAGGACGAGGCCGAGCCTCTACTCCATCGCCTCAGTCAGTGCTCCACACCTGGTTTGAGCATGTTCAGTTTGCTGAGGTTCATTTTCCAGGGTTTTCTGGTCACCGTGTCTTCATAGGGGGAGATATCCAGTTCATAGTCACCTAGGAACAAGGTGGAGATCACTAGAATCCTGAGGACCAAGCCAAAGGTGGGAACAAGAATAACTGATGCTGCTGGTAAACCTCAGAACCCCATGATGAAAAGCACAAAAGGCACAATCTGTACCTGAAACCTGTGCAAAGGTAAGAAGAAGCTGGAACATAAGAGTATTTTCTTAAGCTTGATTAGTGTTTAATGATAAGAATAATAAAGCTACCCTTTGCCATTTGTGAGCATATTGCTATGCTAGGCAATATGGTATAACTGCAGTGACTGACTGAAAAAAATCTCTCTATATATATACATATATATTACCAACCTCATTTAATGATTGGCACTAAGGAATATGTGAATTAATTTTTAAAATACATATACATATATATGTATGTACATATATGTGTGTATATCCCCAATCTCATTTAGTCCTGCTTTCTAGCTTCTGCCTTTGGGTAGTTCAGAAGAAACAAAGGATAAGTGAAGTTACTTGCTGAGGTTCACAGAAGTTAACAAGAAGTAAAGCTGGGATTTGAAATCCCATTTTCTGCTCCTATCCACTCAGACATATTGCCTATGAGGACACAAGTAGGAATGTTCTCTTGTTTTCTCTTGCTCTGGAGGAAAGGGCAGTGGTGAACTCTGATTAAGGTGGAAATGAGGCCAGACCCCAAACTGGACCTCACTGAGAAAAGCAGAGACAGAAAAGAGACAATGACATCAAAGGAAACACAGTTACCCCATAGGGCTGTGGGCTCCTACAAGACTCAGTGGGTCTTACAAATTTACTGTATAGCTCACATATAGTAGGTGTTTATTGATTGTTGATAAATCTTGGGGACAAAAGATGCAAGACATGTGAGCTTGCAGATTTGTAACCAGGTAAACCTTTTTGAAATACATCTTAAGGAGGGAAGGAATATGGGTGATGTCAAGCAAATAGAAAAGGGTGGTTTACATATTTGGAAAGACCTGGAATCTTCCAAGGGAGGTAGGGAGGGAAGAGGAGTCAGGAAGACATGTCAGGGAAAGTTCTGAAAGAGAAGCAATTAGGGTGAAGTGTAGAAAGCAGGGACAAGGTGTAGATTAAATTGCTTTACTGTTTCCAATTATTTGCTAGCCACTCTGCTGGAGGGTTATACTATCCCACCTGTTGCCACTGACACATGCTCTCTATGAAAGCAGATTCCTTTCCCAAAACCTGTGAGACTCATGTGACACAAATCACAACGGAGCAGATGCTTTAAGAACCACCACGGGGTTCTGCTGAAGTTCTTTTTCCACTACCAGAGTGGATCCCTGATTGAAGAGGAATGGTACAGAAAAGAAAAGCCAAACACTGAAAGCCAGCAGCAGATGTGTAACATGAGCAAGAATATATTTTTCTTTAAGCCAGTCGGAGCTTGGGGGTGGGGATTGTTGTTACTGCAGCACATTCTTGTTAGAACCTAGCAAATTCTTATTTTAAAGTGCAATCATATTTACAAGTAGGATAGCATGCTGCAGAAGCAAGAAAACAGTCTACAATGTATAGTATTGGCTTTGGGGCTGGGCAGTGGTGATAAATAAGCTGTTACTGGGGGCTAAAAAGCAGCTCTCGTTTGCAGAGGCAAAACATTTGGTAAAACTGTTGCCTGCAATTATTTGGAAGTGAGATGATGTACTGAATGAATTTGTGCCTTAAGGAGAGGCTGAGAAGCAGGTTACTAGTTTCTCTTGACTGTTCCTGCCTGCATTTGGCAAAGTACTACCAAAAAGATGAAAGCTCAGAGAATTGGCCAACTCAACAAATCAGAAGAAAACAGGAAAAAGAATTCAGAAATTTCAGCACTACAGGATTAAAAGATGCAACTACTTCTCATACTCAAATAGTAAAAGATAACAATGAAAAATGCTTTGAGAAATAAAGTCAATACAACTCAGCCTCAGAGCAAAGACCAAATCAAGTATGTGGCTCTCATGCCCTTTGTGGAGATCTCGTATTGATTATGATGGAAACCAATAAATCCTGCCTGTTGGGCAAAAGTGCTCAGGGGGAAAAAAAGACTGTGATTTAAGACTGAAAATGTTCCAATACTCCTTAGATAGGAAGAAAACAAGCTGAGAATGCTGCTCAATTCCTAAGGAGATTGCAGTCTCCAAAGCCCTTTCAAGGCATAGCCAAAGAAATGAATGGGGAAGGAAGGATCCTCCAGAGGGATCTGCTTAGAACCCGTGAGTACAATGCAGAGAGTAACTGTTTTCATGGAGCAATACTGGGTCTTGTTAAAGAACAATCTTTATCTAGGGAAATGGCCCTTTTTCCCTTACAACATTTGTGAAGCAAGACTTCAGAATTGCTATGACTCAGTTTGCTGACTGGGTGTCTTTGGCCCTTTCTACCTTGAGGATGTTGTACTTTTCCCTATTTCATTAAGGTATTCTGAGTATGTATGGGAGGAGAGGACTTATCATTTTAGTCCTTTGATTTCTAGATCAAGAGGATTTCTGTATCCAGATCTGATAGAGAAATTATCATAAGATCCTAGAGTTGGGACCTGATGTCATGATGGCTACAACACTGAGGGCATATTTCTTGGAAAATGGGTAGAGGTGTTTTGTTTTTTTTTTATAACAGTTTATTTTTACATCATTTTTTTTTCCATCTCAATTGTAATCCCCACGGGTTTGGGTAGAGGTATATTGTTTATAGAAGGGAGGGAAATGAATGTTTTGACCAAAGGGTGGATGATATTAGTTATATTGTCATTTTCAATGATTTCTGCCTCCCTCGTAAGGTTTTATATCCTTGCTTATTGCCATGTGATTTTCAATGTCTCCCTATGGGAACGGCACACTCCCCCTACCAACACCATTACCACAGTGATACCAGGCTTGGCCAGTGATTTGTTTTGTTAAAGAAATGTGAGCAAATCTCTATTATAACATTTGGGAAAAGCTTTGGAAGTCAACAGGTGTACCCTTTGCCATGAGCATCCCAGAAAGAGGCTTCACTTTCAACCTGGATCCCTGAATGAAAGGGACACATGAAACAGCAATATGGAACATGAGCAAAAAGTAAGCCTTTGTTTTATAAGTCACTATTTAGTTACTGCAGTATGGCCCAGTAAAAGCTGACTAATACAGCAGTCATCTGTAGCAAGAGTCAAAGGAAGCTCTTTGAAGTGTCTCTTTCTCTTACCATCTCTTGTCTGATTAATGAATTTCCTTTCTGTTACAGGCTGGACTATAATGTCACTGCCCAATTTCTCAGAATTTAGAGATTACACAGTATTTAGCACTTTTTCTATAGGCTCAGATGTTTTCCTCCATCTCCTCTCCATATCCTTCTATTTAAAATACACCACGTTGGGTCTCAACTTGGCTTAAAGCTTTGCCAGGAGGCAGCCACATGTTTTTAGATATGAAAAAGGATGCTGGCAGAAGTAAGGAGACTGTTATAGGGACCCAAAATGATCCTGTCAATTCCTCACACTACTTCTTACTGATGTCAGCGGCAGAGCTTCATTATCATTCCTGTCAGAATGTACCAAGTGGTCCATATTCTGCAGGATTAGAATATAACCCCTAGAAGACATTTCCCCAACTTAGTCTACTCTAGGATGGGAGCCTCACCAAGGCTGCGGGCACGGTGAACAGTCCAATAGATGTCCAGGCAGGCAGCTTGATTCTTCATGCGCCGGTGGCATGTACAGCTCATCAGAGAGCTATTTCTGAGATGCTGTGCTGTCTCCAGGCAATCTGCAGGGACAGACAGCTCCTCTGGGGACAACGGGGTGCTGTTATTAGAGATGCAGGAATTCAGATGGTGGTAGGCAGCTCCACAAATGGGATCAGCCTGGCACTTCTTCCTGGCCTGGATACAGCTGTTCATGAACCGGCCCTCTGTGGGAATGGGGTTCCCTGTGGCAATAGAGAGACCAAGTGAGTCTCATTAAGATCAGAGTAGCTGCCTAGGAGGATCAACTCTGAGCAGAGCGGGGGTGGGGGGTGGGAGGCATTCCTGATTAAACTTTGGGCAACAAAGTCTTAGAGTGGCAGAAAAAGTGTGGACAAAAAGAAGCCCAGCTGGACTTGGAGAATCTACAGTGCTGATAATCTGGACAGAACAGATTCACCATGGTATACAACCATCACTTCTATATCACTCCAATACATTTTCATCACTCCAAGAACCCCAGATCCATTTAACAGTCATTTCCCATTCTTCCTTCCCCCTAGACTCTGTAAATTACTAGTCTGTAAATTTCTGTATTCACAGATTTACCTATTCTAGGTACTTCATATAAAAGGAATCATAAAATGTCTTCTAGTTTCTTTCACCTAACATACTGTTTATGTGGTTCATTCATGTTGTAGCATATAGTAGTACTTCATGGATTTTTGTGGGTGAAAATTTCATTGTATGGATATACCTTCTTTTATCTATACATCAGTTAATGGACATTTGTATATTTCCATATTTTGGTTATGTGAATAGGACTGCTATGAATATTCACATGCTTAAGTATTTGCTTAAGTATTTCACTTCTTTTGGTTGTATACCTAAGAGTGGAATCCCTGGATCATATGGTAATTCTACTTTTAACTTTTGCCAGTCAATTTCTATTTCTACAGTGGCTGCACCAACAATGGACAAATGTCTAATTTCTCCATATCTTTACCAACTCTTGTGATTTCCCATTGTTTTAAAATTATCATCATCATCATCATCATTATAGTTTGAAGCTAAGTGTCATTTCAGAAAGGTCATACCCAACTAACCAATGTGGCCCCCTAGACATTATTGCTCTAATTCTCTGTACGGCATGTGTCATCACTTAAACTTTTTTAAAATTTGATTTATTGATCCTCTTCCTCTCTAGATTTCCACTCTATGTTGCCAGTGCCTAGAACAGTGCTTATTCATTGTGAATTTTAAGAAATAAACAGATAGCAAGAGACATTCTTTGAGGCACTGCTAAAGTTTTCCTAAGTCCCATCCCTCTATCTGCAATCAAAGGGTCCCAGAAATAGGAGAGAACTTAGGGCTAAATTAGTTCAGCCTCCTCTTTAATTGCATGATAACCAACTAGATTACTTGCCAAAGTGCAGGTTTCTAAACCCCATCTCAGAACTACTGAATCAGATAAAGATTCTGGTGACAAAGCCTGGGAATATGGATTTTAGCAAGTTCACTGGAGATTATTTTGAACCCTAAAGTTTGAAAATTGATGCCAGCTCCAGTACATAAATAACCAACAGTACTACTGATTTTTTCTTATACTTCAGGCTCCAGTAAACCTCAGCATGACATTGCTATTCTTTTTATTTAAAATTTGAATATTTTATTCATAATGGATTTTTTACATTAAATTTTATTTTTTAGAAAATGACATAAAAATATCATATTAAACTATTTATCATGACTGCTGAGTTTCCTAGCACCCCCTTCACTCATCTTCACCTAAGTCCCAGCCCCAAGCAGAAAAACTTACTTATGATTCACTTTCTGAATCATAAATTCTTCAAATGTTAAGATGAAGGGAATGAATTAAAACCACAATTTCTCAGTGGAGGAGATAGAGAAGAAACAGTTTAGGCCAGGATGTAATATCAGATGTGATGCCTTACCCCCTGGTTTACTGATGGAGTCAATCTGGACAGAACACTCCTTTCCTTCCTTCCTTCCACATTTGTCTGACAGCCAAGACTGCTTTTTCTGTAGTATTACCTGGTCGACCAAGGTTACCAACCCACATGTAGTCTGTGGTTTAGGATTCTCAGGCTCTGGGCAGGAAATCCACAATGAGATTCAGGCACCCACCCCACTATCCAAAGGCCATGGATGTTTTCCCTGAGATTATGGATTCCAGGATGTCCTACCTTGGAAGAATGTCTGGGTTCTAAAAACCCAGGCCTTGACTAATATATACTATAAAATATCTATCTATCTACAGGCATCTACAATACAGGCATCTACAACAGGACAAGGCACAGTACTAGGCAGCTTGCAGGGAAAAGCCATCTTGCTCATAGCCAATATTCTGCTGTAATTAAAACATTAAAGTATACCCTGAAAAGTGTGTGTGTATACTTTGTGTGTGTGTATGCGTGTGAGTAGTTTGGTGTGAGCAATAATCTCAATAACACAACCAAATAATGATGCCAGCAGATTCTGTGCAGCAGTTTAAAACACAAATTTGTAATATGTCAGTTCTAACAAATACTTATCTTTCTTTATCTGTACTTAGAGTCAGCTTCCCTACTCCTTAAAGCAGACAGAAGAGTTAAAGTCTATGTAGGGCAAATGCAGTCTGGCTTCTGATTCTCCCTGCTTCTTAGAGATGCTGTACTTCTTCAGTGGCTTAGCTGTGGGTTCCACTGTAACTGTGCAGACACACCTCAAAGAGGTAAAAGAGGGAGTCCTGGATGATGAAACACCTGAACATTGCTGGCACTCCAAAGGTACTTCAGACAGATGTAGTCATGGAACACACCCCTTCCTAGCACCCTGGGCTCCAGCTCCTCAAACTCGGAAGTCCGGGATCTGGAGGCTATACTCTGTCTCAGCCCTCTGGGCAACAGTGACCTGGACCCCACCTACACGCTCCTCCAGCTGTCTAAACCCGGGCAGGAGCAGAGCAGAGCGGATTGCGACTGCACAGGGAGACACTCACCAGCTCCAAGCGGCAGTGGCAACAGCAACAGTAGGAGAAACACAGGCAGCGCTGGTCGCGGGCTCTGGGGGCGCGCCATGGCCGGTTGAGGGTGTCGGGTGTCCGCCCCCAGGAGCGCTATCTGTGCTGAGGCACTGCTCACTTTGGAAGGGAGCTCTGCAGGAGGTTCCTCTGCCTACGCCTCGCCTCCCACTAGCGCTTCCCGCCCCTCCTCATGCAGCGCTGACACTCACCCACCAAGGTCCTGGGCACCGCCCTCCAACTCTGAAGCCAACAAACGCACCACCCAGCTTCTACTGGACAGAGAAAGTGGTAGGGGAAGGGGCTGGTAAGGGAAAGTGCCAGGAGTGGCTGGACTTGGGCACAGAATAGGGTGCCCTGCTGAGCCAGCCCATAGGCAGTCAGATACCAGACTGGCTTAAAGAAGAAATTCTGCACAAGCTATTACAGAAACTGCCACTGGATACTATCTCTGGGGTCCAGGTAATTTAACCCCAGCAAACAACCCTTCTCATTTTCCAGGACCTATACCCACAGCCTACCCCACCACCAACACAATGAGATCTTAGAACAAAACTTGAGCCAGCTAAACGGCACTTGCATTTCTAATATTTTTATTTGTTAGAATTTATATGTTATTTTCCCCAAATAAGAATCTTCAGGAGTAAGATTCAGTTGTGGTTATTAGTCACAGGATTCTGCAAAGATAGTTTAGCTAGGCTGAAATGGCCTTGCTGGGAGCAGACCTGGGGCCAGATCGCAAGACCTTTGCTAAATTCAGAGTCCTTCAAATTTCAGCCCCTTTAGTCTTCCTTCATCCCCTTCAATCCCTTTAGCCCCTGATGGCAGAATGAAAGCTCTCCCTCCCCCCGCACTCCCTGTCATTAGAGATCTTCCTGGAGGAAAGGCAAGGTCACTGAGGAAGATGAATGGAAAGACCATTTGGAAACTTCTTTTTCAAAGAAGCCGGTTACTCTACCAGCATTAAACAGCAATGTAGAACATAGCTGTGCCCAGAAACCAGGATTTCTATTCATATAGGACAGCATATTTATTGGGCCTAGAGATGATTTCCACCTGCTTCCAGGGTAAAGTTAGCATGATTTGGAAGAATGAGAACTAAGCAGTGCTTTAAAAAAAAGAGGGTGAAGACAGGGAGTGGAGTGCTTTACCCCCATCCCTCCAACCCAACCCTCCAACTCAAGTCCTTCCCTAGCTTACATAGCCTGCCTGGCAAAGAGCCAGGAGGGAGGGGATTAAGAAGTGCAATATAAACCTCTGAGATTTATTGGCTGCTGCTTGTGAATATGGCCATCCTGCTGTGGCCTCTGGGGGGCATTTGTCGATGTAATCAGACCAGAAAGAGTCATTCCAGCCAGGGGTGTAAATCACCCTTCACGAAGCTAGAACAGAGACATGTGCCCCTAGATAAGGAGGCTGATGTGGCCTTTTGTACCCTTTTCTCTCTCTCCTGCCTAGGGGGAACTGGTTCCTCAGCTGTAATGCACTTTAAATGGAGTTTCTGCTTCATTTTAATCTATATCTGCCTTGCCAGTTTTATAGAAGAGCTGTGAAAAGGAACATCTTTCTACTGAGCTTTTGTAGAGGGTCTCTGTCCCCCAGCTCCTTCTTACCTCATGTACATCAAACCTTCTCTTCCAGTAAATTTCAGAAACCTGTGGCTGGGGAGCAGATGACCCCACTTTCCATTCCACCCTGGCAGTAGTCTCAGAATAGAATTTACAAAGCAAAAGAACAATTTCAGTGTGTTGGGGTATTAGGAAAAGGCTAGAAGGAATCAACAAAGATGTGGGGTGATCAGAGAGCACCTGTGATCTCTCAACTACCAAAGCCACATGAAATTTTGAGCAGGATAGGCTGGGGTAAGGCATCTGACCAGTGACTACTCAAGTGTCTATCCCTCAAGAAATGGACCAGGAAGGCAGGAACAAGGTCAAACCGATAGGCTGAGGTCCGTGTCCAATTCCACTTGTGAGAGGCCAGACTTTTTGAGAATAATGAGACGCCTGGAACATATTCCTGTCTGGACACTGGGTGGAGAGCCTATCACTGGGCATTTAATGAGAATCGGTAACCAAGGCTAGGGGAGGGTTGAGAAAGCCTCTGCAAATAAATGTGATTCCAAGACTAATATTGACAGCTCCTTTAGTACACCCTCTCCCCATCAACCATATCCTCTGTGACTGCCAACACCTGCTAGATAAGCAGCATTGCTGTTGGGAACCTTGTAGAGAGTGACAAATGAGCCAACCTTGCTACAAAGATGTTCGTCGCCCAGCATTCAATTTAGTAATGTCTTCTGAGAATGATTATGGGTCCAGCTTTGTGCCAGGTGCAAAAATAATGAGTAACAAACCCTGCCCTGGGAGGGTCTTGCAATCTATTGATACTTATTAGGGCTCACAGGCCCAAAGACCCTCTAGCTTACTGTACTTTTATTTGTAATCTTAGTTCTTTGCCTTTTATCATGTACCTATCATATACTTGTATCATGTACATAAGTGCCCACTCACTTTTGAGCTTTATTTCTTAATGCTTTCTTGATCCAGAATTTTAACAATATAATGAATAGTATTAAGGGTACAAACTTTACAAGCTGCCTGGGTTCAAACGCTATTTCCAACACACGTTGAGTGCTGAATCACCTTGGGCCTGTCATTTAATTGTTTCAGGTTTTGTTATTGTTTTTTAATGTGCTTCAGTTTCTGTCTGTTAATTAATGCTAATAGTAGCTACATCATCTAGCAGTTGGGAGGATTAAACAAGTATATTTTGAATTTAGCATAGTGCCCCGCACACAGTGAGCACTGAATATATGATAGCATCTCAGATGACTTGCAGAAGTTAATTGTTCTGTGAACTTGGCCAGCCCTTACCACCAGACATGCTGCTTGAGAGTTGGAGGCTATAGTACTTTTGTAGAATATACTACTAGGCCAGAATATTTGTAGGGTTGGGGACAAAGAGAATAATTTTCTCCATGTCAATTTCCTGAGCGCTGGGACTGTGTGGTATTGTGGTACTTAGAATTGACAACCCCAGGTATATTCAAAAGAATTGTTGTTTCCCTAACATTTAAATGGAAAAAATAGAATATTCCAGGTCTTTTTCTTTATACTCCTAATAAAGAGAAATGCTCCTTCCTTCTCCATGGCAAAGGTTGGCCAGATCCTAGGCTGCAGCTGAGAACCAGAAAGAATTTTTAGAGCAAAAGGTTTTGATTATTATTTGACTTCATGTTCATTATTTGACTACCAGTCAGTGCAAGGACACTAGTGCAGAGCTACACCCATGGTGCAGGGCCACTAAGGGTCAGCTCTGCACTGATACCCCTGCGCTAACTAGAATCCTCTTGTCTAGGATCTTAGCTCTTCAGTATCAACTGCCAAACCCAAGTAACCAGATGCTCCTGACTTCTCCAGAACCTACAATTGAGGCCCTCACATAATACTAAGTACAATATCAAAACTAGAAACTAATGAGGACTGGGTAACAGCAAAAATTCAATAAGGGTACAGGCTCCAGAACTACTACCCAGGTTCAAATCCAGCTGCACCATTTAGTAGTTGTGTGATCTTAAACAAGTTACTTGATTCCACTGTTGATAATTTTTCACCTGAAAAACATGCATAATAAGAAGTACCTAACCTAATCCTTATGTTCCTCAATGTCTTCATCCATAAAACATGCATAATTATACCTGCCTCACAGGATTGTTGCAAAAATTAAATTAGGTAATATGTAACCTAATTATAATATATATAATTATATAAACTGAATTCATAAAAAGCCTTGCATACAGCAAGCATCTGAGAAGTATTACCTACTATTATTACTATTTCAAAAATAACGTGAATCAAAATCACATGGTACCCACACAGTGAAGGCTATGTTGCCTTTTAGGCAAATATAATTTTTCACAATACAGATAACTTAATAAGCCGTAAGAGTTTTGTTTTGCTGTGTTTTGCACCTCAGGATTTCCAGTTAAATAAGATTAGTGAGATGTGAACACATATATACCAATCTCTTCCCAGCTGGTGGCTTGATTCTCTTTCTGGGGAGAATGATCAAGAAATGACCAACTAAGGTAAGGCAATGGGTCAGGGACCCCCCACACACACACTTGGAAGTAAAGGCATTTCAAGTAGTTTCCTCTTCAGGCTATCAGTTTCCACTTGCTGGGAATGTGTGGGTGAGAGAAGAGCAACATCTTTCCCTCAGCTATCACCACGTAATGGAGCAACAGCTTTTTTTTTAATCCTCCCCCCCCCCCCCCAATTCCTTCTGAGCTCTGAGCTCAAGAGCCAGAGACAGGTCAGAGAGGTGGCTTCTCTCTGGATAGGCAGGAGCTAGGAGCAGAGGCTGCAGATTCCAACAATCAGCTTAGAGAATACAGCAGTGCCCTCTGCTGAAAGGCCTGCATGCAGCATCCAAAACAGAATTGCAAACCTTAAAATTCTAGTCAGGCAGGCACTCTAAGGGCTACTAACCTCCCCCCTCCCTCTCATTTTCAAAACCTGCCCCCTGCTCCAGAATCTGTTAAGATGTCAGATTCTATTCTATTTCCACCTAGGCATCAGAGTCCTTTGTTCTTTATTAGTCCTAAGTTATCACTACAACTAGGTTAATACCAGAGCATGAAAATACTCAGCCAATTTCACTACCACATGGGCCAAGTGAGGCTGAATTTTACTATACAAAACCAAGCCTACTCATCTTAAAATGCTCTAAGAAAAGAAAGTCAGGGATATTGCCGCAGAATGCAGTTTGAAAGGTCTAAAACTGATCTTATTTGACCTTCATTTTCTTTTATTTCTGTCTTCACATATTACAAATCTCTACTTCTAACCATTTTAAATGCTAAACTTGTCTTTGTGGTACATGGAATGGAGGAAAGAGTTTGAAAAGGGGGAAAAGACAAAACTCCACTGAGAATATATATATATATAAATATATATATAAATATATGTAATATTATATATATGTATATATAAAATGAACATTTTGAGCTTAACGCAGACTTATTACCTGCCTTAGAGATGCCACTCACCTTGGTTTCTAAGCCTAGATACCACAGTGATGAGCCTGGGTCTTAACACTGACAAAGGTCTTCCTTAAATTCAGACCAGTAGTTCTCAAGCATTGGCATGCATCAAAATTAACAGAAAGGGGGCCTCCCTGGTGGCCTAGAGGTTAAGCCTCAGCACTAGCACCCTCCATAGCCTGAGTTTAATCCCTGGCTAGAAACCTAATTCACATTAGGCAGCTAATCCCTCCTGTTTCACCTGCTGCTCCCCTTTAGAGTATTTTAGATCTATTCATTCTGCTCCACACTCTGTCTTTGATGAATCTTCTCATCCACCCCCCACCTCTGTCCTACACCCAGTTCTTTTTTTTTTTTTTTTTTTTTAAGATTTATGGGTCTTCCCTGATGGTGCAAATGGTTAAAGCACAGCACCATGAAGCTCACTCACAGCTGCCTCACCACAAATTTGCTCCCCAGCCAGGGAGGTGATCCACATGGCGTGGCAGACCACTCTTGACCTGCCCACTGCTCTCCTCAGCAGTGTACTTTGTCAATCTGCCTGTTCTGCCCCCATCTCTGCCTCTGGTATATCCTCTTACTGCTGCTGCACTTCTTGCCTGTACCCCAATTCTTATGCATAAATAAATAAACCTTTAAAATTTTTAAAGATTTATTTATTTATACATAAGAAAAAGATTTATTTATGCATCTTTAAAATTTTTAAAGATTTATTTATTTATACATAAGAAAAAGATTTATTTATTTATGCATAAGAACTGGGGTACAGGCCAGAGGTGCAGGGGCAGTGAGAGGATTCACCAGAGACAGAGTGGAGAGCAGAACAGGCAGATCTACTGAAATAGACTGCTGAGGGGAGCAAAGGGAGAGATTGGAGAGGTCTGCTGCTCCATGTGGGTTAGCTCCCTGGCTGGGATCAAACTCAGGCAGCAGAGGTGAAAGCATGACAGCGGTTAAGCTAAGACTTAACCCCTACACCACCAAGGAGTGCACTAAACAAGTTTAGATGACGCTTATGGTCCAGGTCAAACTTTAAGAACCAGTGGTCTAGAGAAAAGAATACTGGCCTCAGCTATGAATGGAGATAGCTACACTGGAAGGAGTCAATTGGTAATCAATTCCTTATATACAGGTCTTCTAGGAGCAGACTAGGTTCATAATCATGAATCTCTCATTCTATAATGTTTATTTTCCCATTTTAAAAAGAGAGATGGAAACAAAGACGAACAATACAGAAAAAGGAGGCAAGATACCCTCTTACACATCCGGAAGCCCAGAGAGAAAGGTCTGGCTGCCTAATGAGAAGATGCAAAAAGTTGGGAAGAGATACATAACACAGATCTCTGTAACCCAAGAATACATATAGCCTTATCAAGCCAGTTTCAGGACATTACTATCAGGTAGCAGCTCTAGTGAAACCTAACCAACCAACCCCAGGCCGAGGATTTCACCGGTTTGGTTTGCTAGTGTGCAGATATCTTTGAACAATCCTAGGTTTAGCAACCCAGAAGATGGCCTCTCTCCGCTCAGGGTTTCTACAGTGTCTTTGGTGTTTAGTAGGCAGCCAGTGGCTGATCCATGATCATGGGCTCACATCCTTCACCAGTAAGGCAATCTGCTCCTGCAGTTGCCGCTCCCCTTTCCAGGCTTTGCTCTGGCTTCGACATTTCAGCAGTTCAGCCTTATGGTCCTGGTGATGCATAGGGCAGTAGTTCTGTGGTTCACACAGGTCCTGAAAGGGGAGGGAAAAAGTGAAGGATCCCGTTGACTCTCGAATTCTGCTACTAAATATAACAGAGATGCTGCCTGCAGTGGCTAAGAAGGAGTAGCAGTTTCTTCTGAGAAGACTGCAGGCTCAAAGTTACATGCTAAGACTGGTTCCCTCACATCTGGGCTCCCCCTTTATTTACATACCCGATATCTTACCACATATTCTTGAAAGAAATCTCTGTAGCCTCCTTTGAGGATATACATCTCTGGGTAATACAAAGCAGGATACTGGTTCAGAGCCCTGTCCTCTTCTCTCAGAGAGCGGCACCTTTTGAGAAAATCCAAAAGTGAGTGGAGTGGAAAGAAGCAAGGTCAGGATTCCATGGTACAGTCAGTGGGAAGGGGGGGAAGAACAGACTAGCTGACCTTCAAAAAGGGCCATCTGATTTTCTGCCTTAACAAAACAAGGTCCAAGAAGCACCTTGCTTATTCCTTTCTTCCACTGGTACCTCATTCCCAATTCCTTTTTCCTTCACTCCTTCAAACTTTTGAGTTGTACAAACCCCTTCTACTTACCTCCCCATTCTTCAAACTGCACTGGAGAACATTTCTTCAATCAGTCTGTCTTATTTGTAAAGTTTCCCTAGTTTTAAGTCCCAGCTCAAGATCCATTCCCATAACCCACCTTACCCTTTTAGTTACTCACATTCGAGGACCCCTCTCTGAGGAGAATTCACAGTGAAACACGATGATTATTCTTTTCTGGATGTCCAAAGGGACAATGGGCTTCTTCAAGAAGAAGTTATAGAGTTCTTCCTGACTGTACATGTTTAAGGCTCCCTGTAAAAATATTTCTTTAAGGGCCTGTGGACAGCACCAATACTTAAAAATAATTAGGATACCATCTTGGAATACTTGGGTGAGGAAGGCTAAACTATAAGCACTTCTCAGGGTAGAGGCTTAATTATATTTCTGTATCTACCCCCAGGGCCTGGCACAGAGCATGGTATGTAGTAAGTGCTCATTAAATGTTTATAGAACTGAATTGCCTGATGTGTAGGGTTCATTGTGCAAGAATGTCTACAAAGCACTAAATGATTACAAAGTACTTCTCTGTCCTTAAATTTATGTCTCTATTTCTAGGAAGGAGTCTTTGCCTCCTATAGAAAAGAGGGAGATTGGACAATATGAGGGACAGGGAAAGTCAACTGTTCAAGTTTATAGCACTAAAATAGGAATGAGGATGTGCTCCAAATGTATAATCCCTTCACTGTTTCTAGAATTCATAGGACACTTTGTCCATAGGTTCTCCTCAATAAAGAGTAATCTTCAACCCTTCTCCTCCTAATGTCCCCACTATAATCTCACCTGGATATGTCCTCCAAGGTACTCATATGGATAGCGGCAATCAATGATATAAAACTTCTCAATCAGACTCTGAAACTTCCCCAACAGTAAAGCAGCCACCTGCACAGAAACCACTGAGTGAATATCCTGCTCACTGCCACTCACAGCGAGAGTGACAGAAGAACCAGTCACACAGCTCCTGCTTTGTACTCCCTTTGGTCACCCATGAATCCACTGCAAGCCCAAGCCTTCAAAGGTCCCCTAGATTTGAAATGTACAGTGGTTCACTCCCCTACTCCACATAAGAGGCTAAAAAAGGAAATGTCCTTTTTGAAGAAACAGAATAGCTGTATTGCCAGGACACCCAGAGAACAATATTCAGGCTAATCCTCTAGACACAAGCGTGACTCAAATCAGCCTGTCGAATACACCCAAGGTCTTCTGAGTGGCACAGGTTGCAGCCAGAGAACCCAACTTTGCAAGAAGTGCTGGAGGAAGTTCCCTACCCTTCATTATAAAAGAAGAAAATAAGTCTTTTCAGAAAAGGATATGAAAAGAAAAGGCTGATATATATACCCAAAGAAGGAAACTGATGCTACCAATAGGAGTGTAATCTGGTTTGACTTTTCTGGTTTGACTTTTCTTTACATATAAAAATAAATGTAATTATATTTTGACTAAGCAATTTTAAAACATCTTAAACAAAAAAGTACACAGAAAGGTTACACAATAATAATCATCTCAGCATTGCTTGAGGTTATCAAAATATTACAAGTAACTAAAGTAATCAAAAAGAGGGGTTTTAGCAAAATAAAGTATTTATGCCAGTATATTAGGATATTATATATAGCCCTTAACAGGTTAATATAGGTGTGTTTATACTGATATAGATATTTACAATGTCTTACTAAGCTAACTGCATGTTCATCATGATCCTGTTTCCATAAAAAAATACCAGAATAAAATCTGGAAGGGTACAGGAAAATATCACTAGTGGTCATCTAGGTGGTAAGATTATAAGAAGGGCAACTAAATATTGCACAAACTGGAATACTTTTGAGAGTGAAAGAGAACTCTATAATATTTACTCTGCAATAATAGGAAGTAAATGGGATTATAGCATGTAGTGCTATAATTGAGTGACTTTTCCTCTTGAGGTCTTAGCCTTTTTCCATTCCCCCTTCCTTCCATAACAATTTTATAACACTTGTTTAGTTAAAACAAAAGCAACAGAAGAATGGTATAAATGGTGATATCCTTTAAGACAACTTCAGTTGAATAAGGAGCCTATCTGAGTGTTAGAAACAGAAATGGAAGTAGGAATTTTAGGGACAGAACAGACCAGATGGTAGCTTATGTAACCAGTTACCATGTCCAGAAATCATCTTACCGTTTCTGGGTTGACATACTTCAGATCTTGGTGCCTTCCTGACACGGTTGGCAGCACACATACCTAGAAATACCCAAGAGCTGAAATAACAGAAAGTTTCCTATACCCAAATTTGAGTTCTAAGATCAATATATTGTCCTTCTTTCCAAATGACCCTTTAAACCCTGGATGCCTTCAAAAATCAGTGGTCTATATTATGTTCATTTGTAGCAATTCCATTTCCAAAAATGGATCCTAAGGACATGTGCAAAATTTTAGATAGCACGTGCAAAATTTTAGATAGAGCTACAAATATGTTCATCCTGGAATAGTTCATAAGAAAAACTGTAACAATAAGTATCTTACAGGACAGTATTTATCAAGAAATGATATACTTGGGCCCTCTCCAGGGCCCTCCCCGGTGGCTTAAAGTGCTGCACTATAGCTATCCACAGCCACTGTATCATGAGTTCAATCCCCAGCTAGTGGCTGACCCACATGGCACAGCAGACCTCTCCTGACCAGCCTGCTGCTCCCCTCAGCACTGTATTTCAGTTGATCTGCCTGTTCTGTTCCCCACTTTGTTTCTAATGAACTCACCCCCCACACACACACACACCTTTGGCCTATACCCTGCTTCTTGTATTGCATAAACATATAAATCTTTTTTTTAAAAAAAGAATGTACAGCCAAAAAAATGAACCTGTGATTCTGTTAAAAATTATTAAAATGGGCCCTCCCTGGTGGCGCAGCAGGTTAAAGCATAGCACTAAAAAGCTAAAGCCACTTCCACATGAGTTCGATTCCCGCCTGCCCTAGAGGTGACCACATGGTGTGGCAGACCTCTCCTGACCCGCCCGCTGCTCCCCTCAGCAGTGTACTTCGTAGATCTGCCTGTTCTGCTCCCCACTCTGTCTCTGGTGAAGCCTCTCACCACCTCTGAGCCTCTGGCCTGTACCCCAGTTCTGTATGCACAAATAAATAAATCTTTTTTAAAAAAATGATTAAAATGGCACAAAATATAAAAATGAACTATTTTTTTTTAAATGATTAAAATGAGGGCCTTCCCTGGAGGCACAGTGGGTTAAAGCACAACCCTAAGAAGCTAAAGCTACTTCAGCAAGAGTTCAGTCCCTGCCCCAGAGGTAATCCACATGGTACAGCAGACCTCTCCTGGCCCACCCACTGCTCCCCTCAGTATGTGTACTTTATCAGTCAGCCTGTTCTGTTCTCTTCTCCCAACTCTGTCTCTGGTGAATACTCTCACCCACCAAACCTCTGGCCTATACCCCAGTTCTGTAAGCATAAATAAATCTTAAAAAACAAAACAAAACAAAAAAGCCTCACGCTTTCCCCACTGCTTTGGATTTTCCGGAATGGATAAGGAACACTGTCTCATTGGGAAGATTTAGAGTCTAGATCTACCAACACAACATTTTCAGTTTATTAAAAGAGTACTTGGGGCCCTCCCTGGTGGTGCATCGGGTTAAAGCACAGCACTAAGAAGCTTAAGCCACTTCTGCATGAGTTTGATTCCCGCCTGCCCTGGAGGTGACCACATGGTTTGGCAGACCTCTCCTGACCCGCCCGCTGCTCCCCTCAGCAGTGTACTTCGTGGATCTGCCTGTTCTGCTCCCCACTCTGTCCCTGGTGAATCCTCTCACCCTCCGCATCTCTGGCCTATACCCCAGTTCTGTATGAATAAATAAATAAATCTTTAAAAAAAAAAAAAAAAAAGAGTACTTGGTAAAGCTGCATAATTGTACCTAGTGTCCTCTGCAAGCAGAAAAGACAACACAGATCCAAAATAAAATATTCATTGAAATATGAAAGGAATGTAACAAAACTTACCTTGGAGAAATCACCTATCAGATGTCCCTGGTTAGAATCGTCCTCCAGCATCTGAATAACATTAACGTCACAGAGAGAGACTGTCTTCTTTAGAGCTGAACCCTGAAGATGACAAGATTACCCCTAGTGGTAATCCTCATGTTAAAGATTTAAAAACCAGGAGATAGGGGCCTACTTGGGCGTGCAAGGAATTAAGTCTCAGCACTATAAAGCTATCCACAGCCACTGAAGCATGAGTTCGAACCTATGCTGCAAGAGAGCTGACCCACATGGTGCAACAGACCTCCTCTGTCTTGCCTACACTCCCCTCAGCAGTGTCTTTCAGTAGATATGCCTGTTTTGCTTCCCACTAGATGGTGGATCCTCTCACACACGCACCCCCACACAACTCTGGCCTACACCCCAGCTACTGTAAGCATAAATAATATAAATATTTATAACAAACAAACAAAAAGCCGAGGAGACAGAGTCAGACCAATAGAGACATACAAGCCCTTTGATCTAATAGTTCCACTTGTTTTCTCAAGGAAATAAAAATATGCACAAAGAGGCTATAAGGATGAATATTCCAGGATGTTTTCAATGGGGAAAAATTTAAATCAATTAAATGTCCACAGGGCCTTAGTTAAGTAAGTCATATTGTATACATTATATTACTATTATGCAATAAAAAGTATATTGTAGGGCTCTTCCTGGTGGCGCAACTGGTTAAAATATAGCACTGTGAAGCTAGAAGCAGCTGTTTCGCACAAGTTCAAATCCCAGCCAGGCAGGTGACCCACATGGTGCAACAGACTTCTGTCTGGCTCAGCATTGTATTTCGGTAGTTCCACCTGTTCTCTCCACTCTGTATCTGGTGAAGCCTTTCACCACCCCCTACCTCTGACCTATACCCCAGTTCTGTATGAATAAATAAATAAATCTTTAAAAAAAATTTTTATAAATATGTTGTAGATTAATTGTATTGACTTCAAAATTATTCATGATAACATTATGTAGGTTAGAAAACATGTACTCTATATTACTTTAATAAAAGAAAAAATTTATAGATTATAGAAAAATGCCAGGAAGAATATACATTAAGTGTTTATAGTAATTATCGCTAGCCTGTGGGATGTAGACCTTTTGCAAAGATTTCTTTATGCCTATCATATACTGATTTTTTATAATAGCCAGATACATTCTGATTATTTTTAAAGGCAGGGAAGCGGTAGAGGGCTAAGTTTTTCAGAAAGTGCTTTCCACCAAACCAATGTGCTATATGATACTGTTTCTTTAAGAATGCATGTTGCGGGCCCTCCCTGGTGATGCAGAGGATTAAAGCACAGCACTAAGAAGCTTAAGCCACTTCTGCCTGCCCCGCCTGCCCCAGAGGAGATCCACATGGTGAGGTAGACCTCTCCTGACCCGACCGCTGCTCCCCTCAGCAGTGTACTTCCTCGATCTTCCTATTCTGCTCCCCTCTCTGTCTCTGGTGAATCCTCTGCATCTCTGGCCTGTACCCCAGTTCTATATGAAAAAATAAATAAATCTTTAAAAAAAAAAAAAAAAGAATGCATGTTGCACAGCAATTCATTCATCTCCTTGCCAATAAAAGCTCCCTTGTATCCTCTTAGATCTTAAAAAAGAGGGTTGGAAAGACATTCCCAAAAATATAATGCAGATATTTATTGTTAATATATTATCTGCAAATGTAGAAATGAGAAAAGTTGGAAACAACAGACATCAAAGTAAAAGTAATAAAAAGGAAAAGATCTATACCAAGCAATCCTCTTATCAGCAAAACAGAGAAGACAATGAGATAGAAGATTAAACGTCTTACCTTCCTGAGTTTTTTGTGGCTAGAACAGTATTTCTCTTTTAATTTATCTGGTATTGGGTTGTCCTTGAATTTTACCACCTGCTCCAGTCTTGGACTGTTTAAGTCCTCTGGCAATGAAGGGGAGCGATACAGATAGCTTCTGTTCAGACAAGCCTGTTGGGGAATATCAACATGTTGGATTCTTAGTCCGTAAGAGGTATCTGCAGGTCAGCAGCATGAACATTTGAAAGCTTATTAGAAATGCAGAATCCCAGATGTTAGGCTTCACCCCAGAATTAAAATCTGCATTTTAAAAGGAAGCCCAAGTGATTCCTAGGAACATGTAAGTTTGTAAAGCAATGTTCTCAGTCTGCCTCTCTTCAGTAACATCTTTCTCTTCAGGCTACATGATATTCCATATCACCCAGATGTTTTCACTCTAGCCAAACCAGTCTCCACTGACTGTCTTAATTTTTATACGAGAAAGCAAACACAAACTTGACTCCTTCAGTTATAAATAAAAAGATTATTTATGCATACAAGAACAGCAGTACAGGCTAGAAGTGTGAAAGGGTGAGAGGATTCACCAGAGACAAAAGTGGGGAACAGAACCAGCAGACTGACTGAAACACACTGCTGAGGGAAGCACTGGGCAAGACAGGAGAGGTCTGCTGCACCATGTGGGTCACCTCCCTGGCAGGGGATCAAACTTGTGCTACAGTGGCTTGGAAGAGTTTCATAATGTTATACTCCAATACTTTGAGCCACCTGGGAGCTCCCCTCCCAGTTGTGTTTATTAAATAAATCAATTAATTAACCCTAAATTAAGTTTCTCTATAGAATCCAAAGATAGTAACAAGGTGTAAGGACCCCAATAAAATTAAAGATGACAAGCCAAGAGATTGATTAAAAAAAACAGCGGAAAGTATGTTACTTTTTTTTTGTTAGTAGTTTGAAAGACAAAAAATCAAGCCTTCTCATAAATGGGGTTGTTAACACAGAAGCAACAACAACAACAAAAAAAAACCTCAGCAAAACAGTCTTCATGCCTGGGAAAAACAAACAAAATACCAGGACAATTACAAAACTGGTACTATGAAGCTCATGAGGGAATAATGAATTACATACAGTGAAGAGCCTTAGTCTTAGAAATTGCTGGCCCAGGAACAGACTAAAGGACAAGAGGATGGACTATGTTCATTTGAAAGGCATGATTTCGGTGTTACACCCAGAGGTAGCGAGGTATATTGAATGACCTATGATAACAATTTTCAGCTAACCCAAGATTCTTATCCTCTTTTTCCCAGAAACCTCTACCTTTGGCCTAAATAAAAGACAAAAGCTCTTTATATATTCATGTCACTGTTATGGATTGACTTACAGGAAAAATAGACAAAAGAGCCCTAAGTAGAAGGCAGTTGATGATCAATGGGTACTAGGAAGAGAAATAAGAAATCAATATTGTATTTTATAATAACTGTATCAATTATAATATTTATCAGACCCCTTTAAGGAAAAGTCCATTACTCATGGTACCAGATTAGATAGCGATCACATTTAATATACCAATACTCTATACTACTCTTTTCCCGTGAGCCCATGGCCAGTCATCTCCCTATGTCTCTACCCACCCTACCCAAACTACTGATTGTTACAGGGCACCCCAAATCTGTTAAGAACAGGGGGAGAGAGAGGCATCCCTGAAGCCCCAAAACCTTCCTGCTCTAAGTGGGTTCTGCCATCCACCGCAACAAGACAAAACATATAAAACTTCAATGAAAAGGGATTTTAATACAGTAAATATACAATATGGAACACAAAGAATATAACTTCTAAATCAAACACCTAAAGTTACCCATCCCCTCGTGGGCAAAAGTCAACACAAAAGGGATTGACCCAAAGCAAGGCCTGAAAACCTGCCACTAGATTAAAGCACCTTCTGGCTGGGACCCATGGAAAAGGGTCAGACATGGCCAGACAAATCTGGGAGCAAAAGAGCAAAATCAAAATCAATATAAACACTGCCATAGTCACCTCCCTGCAGGTCTCTCACCCACATCTGCCTTAACCAGTCCAGGGTCAGGAAACAAGCAGGGCTTCTTCCTTACATGCTTGCTGCTCCATATGGCTTCCTCAGGTCTCCTCCTCCTTCATCCTACTTCATTCTCTCCTTTTTCTCTGCTCTGCTCCGCCCTCCTTCTGGGTCCGGCAGGGAACCTAGAACTTCCCTTTTTCCTAGGGACCACCCTGTTACACGATGACTTGACCATATTGCTAGTTGAACACAGCTATTTAGCCACCTAGAATTTATAAAAATAATCTGGGCTAATCAGGTTTTCTTTTCCTGAGTATCTAACTTGGAAAAAGGCAAAATAATTAGGTAGCAATAGAAGACAAAGTTGAAAAGGAAGACGTCAATAGATACAGTGAAGATCACAGGACACACAAGGTCAGTGATAAATGGAAGCTAAACCAAAGGTATGGTAAAGGATTGAGGAGCAAGCTACCAAGGTCCATGACAGATTTGCCTTCATATAACTTCAGTTTTTCTCTGAGAGGAAGGTAGGTGAAAGTCCCACCAGAATTTCAAATCTGTTGGACTTTGTGAAGCTGTTTCTTGTAACCAAGCGCCTCTCTAGAACACACCATAATTTTAGGCTACAAATTAATTTCAGAGTTTTTAATTAATTAGGTAATATGAACTATATTCTTAGAATTATAAGTTAAGTAATCTTTTGCTAATCCAAGATCACAAAAATGTTTCTCCTCTGTTTTGTTTAAAATTTTATACCTTGAGATTTTATATTTAGATCTAGCAAACATTTTGTGCTAAATTCCGTACATGGTATGAGGTATAGATTGAGATTTTTGTTTTTCAATTATTCCAACATATGCTAAAAACATGCTTTGAACATTTGATTGCTTTTTTATCTTGGTCTAATTATCAATTGACTATATATGCATGAATCTACTTCTCAAACTCTATTCTGTTCCATTAATGGTTTAGATTTTTAGTAATTATTATTATGGTGACAATGAAGGGTAATAAACATCCTTTTTACATAGTCTAAGGAAAAGAAGAAGTAAAGGATAGCCAAAAACTACTTTAACAAACAGAAACAACAACTACTGCTCTGCCCTGACAGAATTTTTTTTAATCCAAATGAAAAAAAATTTTTTTCCCAAAGATTTATTTATCCATACAGAACTGGGGTACAGGCCAGAGATGCAGAGGGTGAGAGGATTCACCAGAGACAGAGTGGGGAGCAGAACAGGCAGATTGATGAAGTACATTTCTAAGGGGAGCAGCAGGTGGTGAGGAGAGGTCTGCTGCACCATGTGGATCTCCTTCCGGGCAGGCGGAGATCGAACTCATGTGGAAGTGGCTTTAGCTTCTTGGTGCTCTGTGCCTTAGCCCGCTGCGCCACCAGGAAGGGCCCCAAGTGAAAATTTTTAAGCAAAGATGAAAGTTAAAAGATGTTTACATGAATTATATCTTCTAAAAAAAAAGAAAAAGAAAGGCAGAGATAAATAAGGGGAGGAAGGAGAAAGGAAGAAGGAAAGAAAAGAAATACTAACATTTATGGAGCACATGGCTGAATAACAAATTTAGATAAATGAAATTTGGCATCTTTACAGCAAACCCAGCCAATCAGATACAACCACCAATCCCATTTCATCAATGATAAAGCCAAAGGGCCAGCAGGGAGCAAATAAGTCACAGGGCCAGCAGGGGGCAAATAAGGGGACTCAAAGAGAAATCAGTCTAGAGAGCCCCAGGACCCCCCCAACCCAGTTTTAACATCTGTGCTGAAATAAGCCTCCCTGCTTCAGGATGAAATAGGCACCAGCTATGTCCTGGCCTTTGCTATGGGTAAAGGACCCCTTTTTTTTTTTTCTAGTGTACTTCCTCCATCTGAGTTCAGAGCAGATTCTCCCTCAGAGTCTTCTTCCTATACATGAAGGAGTCAGGTACCAAAGAAGTTTCCTTCCCTTCCTATGATTACCCTTTGGGGCCACTGCACACTGCTCAGGCCACCAGACCCCTGGTATCCCCTTCCATACTGGGACCCCTCAGTGCAGAATGTCTTGGGCACCATGTAGTTGCTAGGATTACTGACAGATTCTCTCTAATATATTTATATGAAAACAAATGGCAACATACTATAAAGAGTATAAATACTAGGATTATGAGGATGTTACTTCGGCTTTAGTTTTGCTAGTAAGAAGTTTCACAATTCCCCAAAAACTGGTGTGAAGAGTTCTCAAGAAAAGTTGGCTCTGATTGCACCCACCCAACATCTACTCATTACAAGTTTTAATTCTTTAAGGAGTCATCTGACAGTTTCCAAATGAGGGAGTTTTAAGCACTTGAAAAGGCCAGAAGGAAAGGTAATTTGCAAAGCTTGATTCTACCTAAAGAATTTATTAAAAGATTTAGCTGAATAATTATTTTGTAAACTGAGGAAGCATCACCATTTCCTCATGACCTGTACACACAGGCATTTTTTCTTATCTGCACTATGGTTCACTGTTCCTGACAAGATTATCAACAACCTTCATGGTTACATCTCACACTCATGATTCTTTTCTTTTTATAATAGTTTATTTTTACATCATTTTGTACATTTTTTATCTCAGTTGTAATCCCTGTGGGTTTCCCATCACCACGTCACCCATGTGCCATCACCATAGTCCAGCGCACTTCCCTCCCCCCACCATTTTCATCTCATTCCCCATTCTACCCCCATAAAATGTCTCTGGTATATGGCTGTTCATTATTCTTATTATTTTCTCGCCTGGTCCATTATACTCCTGCTATAAGCAAAACCATCTGGCATTTTTCTTTTTCTTTCTGGCTTATCTCACTAAGCATGATTTTTCCCAGCTCCATCCATGTTGCTGCAAAAGACATGTGTTTTTTTTTTAGTTGCTGAGTAATATTCCACTGTGTATATGTACCACATCTTTTTAATCCAGTCATCCACTTTTGGGTATTTGGGCTGCTTCCATGTTTTTCCAATTGTAAATAAAGTAGAAGTAAACATGGGGGTGCAGGTATCTTTTTGAATATTGTTTTTGTGTCTTTTGGGTAGATACCTAGGAGTGGGATTGCTGGGTCATAGGGAAGCTCCATGTTTAGCAGTTTGAGGAACCTCCAAACAGTTTACCATAGTGGTTGTACTAGTTTGCATTCCCACCAGCAGTGCAGGAGAGTTCCTTTTTCTCCACATCCTCGTCAACATTTGTTCTTGCTAGTTGTTAGAAGATGTGCCATTCTCACTGGGGTGAGGTGGTATCTCATTGTGGTTTTAATTTGCATCTCCCTTATTATGAGTGCTGTTGAACATTTTTTCATATGCTTGTTGGCCATCTGCATTTCCTCTTCTGCCCATTTTTTGATGGGGTTGTTTATTTTTGTTGAGTTTCATCAGTTCTCCGTATATTTTTGTGATCAATCCTTTATCATTAGTTTTGTCACACTCATAATTCTTTAATCTTGTCTCTATGGATCTCAAAGTGGCTTCAATGAGTTAGCTACTTCATTCTTCCTTGGCTTCAAAGGCACTGTCTACTTTTTTAGTATAGTTCTAGTATAAATAATACCTATACTAAAAAAGCTGTGATGTTTCTCTTTCTCTGTTACTTCTCAATCTTTTTTGTCTGGTGTCTTCACCTATCAAACCTCTAATAGATGCTGGGGTAGGTCCCAGCCGTTTTCTCTTTTATCCTCCTCCAGATGTCATTGTTATACCCATGAATTAAATTTTCCCTCTACTGATGACTCTCAAATTTGTATGTAGTCAAAACCTCTGCTTTTACCTCTGAATTTCCATAGCCACATACCTGCTTAACACTTTTTGAGTACTTACTAAATGACACAGCAGTGACTAAGAGAGTAAAAGAAAACAGAGAAAAAAAAATGTATTTTACAATAGTAAATACTATCAGCAAAAAAAAGAAAGAAAGAATAAAGGGCCCTCCAAGTGGCGCAACAGGTTAAAGCACAGCACTATGAAACTATCTGTAGCTACTGCAGCACGAATTTGATTCCCAGCTAGGGTACAGACCCACATGGCATGGCAGACCTCTCCTGATATGCCTGCTGCTCCCCTCAGCAGTGTATTTCAGTACATCTCACTGTTCTGTTCCCCATTCTGTCTTCAGTGAATCCTCTCACCCCTCAGACCTCTGGCCTGTACCCCAGTGCTTGTATGCATAAATAATAAATAAAAAGAATAAAAGGTGAGAAAATTATTGGGATTGGAAGTTTGTCAGAAAAGGCCTTTATGGTAAGGTGACACATACGTGCATAGATGACATTTATATGAATGCAAATATTGTATATTACAGAGGGGAAAAGTGTTTTAAGCTGAAGGAACAGATGAAAAGACATTGTTGAGAATAATATGGTCAGTTATGGTCACATTGAATATAATGCCATTTTTAGAAATATCAATAACTAATTGAAGGAACACTATAAAACATCTATACCTAACAGACATCTACAAAATACTGTACCCAACAACAGAATACATATTCTTGTCAAATACACATGAAACATTCTCCAGGATATACTACATTATCAGATTATTCAACAAACCTCAATAAACTTTAAAGACTAAATTATACAAAATATGTTTTCTGACAATAATGGAATAATAAGAAATTTGTAACAAAAAAATCTGGGCCAGTGTCTGAATAGGGAACACAAAGGAAATTAGAAAATACTTGAGAGAAAATACTTGAGAATACCAGAATTTATGGGATGCATCTAAGGAGTGCTTAGATGGAAATTTATATCTCTAAACACTTATAGTAAAAAAGAAAGTGTTAAGTGAAAAATCTAACATAAAATATGAGAAAGAAATAAGAAAGTTTGGAATGAAACTTAAAATAAGTAGAGAATTAAGAGTGCTGAGTGACAGGGCCAACCTGTGAACCCAGGCAGTCTGTCTAGTTCCACAGTCTACACTTTCTATACCATTGTGCTCCACTGATTCACATGCTCTTACTTTTCCCTCTAATTCCATATAATTTCAAATTCCTCCTTTACTCAGGGCTAGAAATGGTAGTCAGATAGGATTAGTTGGTTGTAGTGATTATGTTTTAATGTTTAACACATGAAAAAATATATACAAAATTACTTATTACAAAGCTGTAACAGTCAAAATGACTATTTTTTCAAAAATACTAGTTTAATCAAAAATACTGGTGTAAAAAAGACACATAGGTGATTCCAGAATAAATTCCAGAAATAAACCCTCACATATATGATTGAGTGATTTTCCACATGGGTGCCAACACCATTCAATTAGGAAAAGATAAACCTTTTAACAAATGGTACTGGGAAAACTGGATAGCCACACACAAGGGAATGAAACTGCACCCTGGCTTCATATCACATACATAAACTAATTCAAAATAAATGTAAAAGCTAAAACTATAAAACTCCTTTAAGAGTTTCTAATTGGGGCACTGTCTGGTGACACTATGGGTTAAGCACAGCACTAGAAGTTAGCTTCAGCCACTCAGTTCAATCCCAGGCCAGGGCACAGCAGACCTCTCCTGTCTCATCTACTGCTCCCCTCAGCAGTGTATTTCAGTACATCTGCCTGTTCTGTTCCCCACTCTATTTGGTGACTCCTCTCACCACCCCACACCTGTGGCCTGTACCCCAGTTCCATACACATAAACAAATCTTAAAAAACAAAATTAAAAAGAGTTTCTAATTGGGGGGCCTCCCTGGTGGCACAAGTTTGCTCCAGCCACTGCAGCATGAATTTGATCCCCAGCTGGCCAAGGAGCTAACAACATGGTACAGCAGACCTTGCCTGTCTCACCTCACCAGTGTATTTCAGTAGATCTGCCAAGTCCTCTCCCCTGTACCTCTGGCCTAAACCCCAGCTCTTGTATGCATAAATAAATAAATCTTTTTTAAAAAAGAGCTTCTAATTGGGGCCTCCCTGGTGGTGCAAGGGGTTAAAGCACAGCAATATGAAGATACGGATCCCTCGCCAGGAAGGTGACCCACATGGAGCAGCAGACCTCTCCTGTCTTACCTGTTGTTTATTTCAGTCAGTTTATTTCAGTCAATCTGCCTGTTCTGTTACCCACTTTGTCTTTGGTGACTCCTGTACCTCCAGTTCTTGTATGCATAAATAAATAAATCTTAAAAGAAAAGTTTCTAATTGGGGTGATAAAAAAGTTCCAAAGTTGTGTAAGTACATTTTCAACAATGTAGAAGTTCTTAGTGCCACTGAACCATACATTTAAAAATGATTAAAATGTATTTTTTGTATATCTTAACAAAATAGGCAAATGAAAAAAAGAAATATATAAAATTTATCCCTCGACTTGTGTCCTACATCCCCAGTTCTTGAATGATGTTATTCCTTTATGTGTCTACGTCATTATCAATTTCCTCAATGGTTATTATTCCTTCTTCCCAAGCTCTTTCTCTTTGCCTTAACCTTGAAGTCATTAGCTTTCATTTTCTTCTTTATATAAATGGTCTTGAAATGTACATTTTCAATCCTGTTGGTTGCAATTTCTCATTTAGTATTTCCATTTAAATTCCCGTTACTACCTTTAATTCAAATGAATAAAACAGTACACGGTATTCCTTATAAGTTACCCTTCTTTACAAATGTATTAATTATGTCACATTTTTTCTATTTTGCTCAGGGTAAACTAAAAGTAATACTTCCCAAACTCCTAGGCCCCTTTTTTTTTTTTAATATCACATTATCATTCACAGCACTTTTGGTGATCTAACACTATCTTGTTTATTGGCTTCCTTGTCTATCATCATGACTTGAAAATAGAAATAGAAACTGCATGAAAATCAGTAATCTGGGCTCTCTCTGGTGGTTCAACAGATTAAAGCACCGCATTATGAAGCTCTCTAAAGCCACTGCAGCATGAGTTCAATTCCCCCACCAGGGAGCTGACCCAAAAGGCATGGCAGACCTCTCCTGACCCACCCGCTGCTACCATCAGCAGTGTATTTCAGTACATCTGTTCCCCACCCTGTCTCTGGTGAATCCTCTCACCCATCAAACCTCTGGCCTGTACCCCAGTTCTATAAGCATAAATAAATAAATCTATAAAAAAAATCAGTAATCTTTTCTGTCTTAATCGTGATTCTGCCCCCTGTCTAGAACAGTACCTGGCACAAGTCAGTCTCAAATGTCTGAATTGCTATAGGTTACATTATTTTTTATTACATACACAATTGCTTGTATGTATATTTTATATGTACTATAAGCTGCTCTTCATACTTTATCATCTTCACAACAATACTACTGAGGTTATTCTTTATTGTTGTGCTGTCTACTTTATAAATTATAAACTGAGCTGTAGAGAATGAGGAGTAGAATCCAAGTGTTCTATATTTGCCTTGTAAAATGAATTTTAAGAAAAACTCCCCCACACACATATTTGTTTTAAGGAAATTCAGTTGATTCAGAAATGCTAAATGTCTCAGAATCTATCTTTGAAATATCAGTACATGTCCAATAAACCACAGACTTCTGATATTCCTGAGAGATGGGGTAGAAAAATAAGACAAAAGAACATATTGTAAACCACCTGAAAATCATGGTAGGCATATTCTGTCCATTACTATCAGTCTACATTGATGGTGATCTACTCAAACAACAGACTGAATCTGTTCAACCAGCAGTAGTATCCCATAGTGACCTGACATGCTGTTAGGTGGCCCTTAAAGTGTAACCATGTCTACCTTGATCTCTGCTCACCTACCACTTAGTATAGTGACTATAAACATTTAGATATACAACTTTGCTTATTCAAGAATAAAGAAATATGAAATATGCAAAGATTCCAACAGAGAATACTTACCTTGGTCTCTTCTTGATCTTCTAAGGAAAATTCCAGCAATTCATCTGATATCTGTTCTGCCCGGTCTTCTAATTCTGGATTTTTAGCCAATTCTGGAACTGTAATGGGACTGCCCAGATATTTCATTTTACTTTCCAAGTTTCCACTGTCCTGTCAAGTACATTGACAAAAGTAAAAAAAAAAACTATTCAGGAACCTTACCTCACCACATATATAAAAATTAACTAAAAATGTTTCCTAACTGGTTAACAAAAAATGTTGCCTGAACACAGGAGGTGGGGACAGGTGTTAAAAACAACAAAGATTTGACCCTCCATGGTGGCGCAGCAGGTTAAAGCACAGCACTGAGAAACTAAAGCCACTTCCGCATGAGTTCGATTCCCACCTGCCCCGGAGGTGACCACATGGCGCAGGAGACCTCTCCTGACCCGCCCGCTGCTCCCCTCAGCAGTGTACTTCGTCGATCTGCCTGTTCTGCTCCCCACTCTGTCTCTGGTGAAGCCTCTCGCCGCCCCTGAGCCTCTGTACCCCAGTTCTGTATGAACAAATAAATAAATCTTTAAAAAAAAAACAACAACAACAAAGATTTAGACATTAGAGCAAAAAATATATAACTTGTAGAAGGGCGTCCCTGGTTAAATCTCAGCACTACCACCACTACAGCCTCAGTTCAATCCCAAACGGGAGCTAGCCCATAAATGGTACAGCCGATCTCTTCTGTCTTGCCCACTGCTTCCCTTAGCAGTATATTTCAGTAAATATGAAAAACTCTGCTCCCCATTTCTGGTGAATGTTTTCACCCCTTGCACCTCTGGCCTACAACCCAGTTCTTCTACACACAAAAAAAAATTTTTTTTTGAAAAATAAATGATTTAAAAAAAAAAAAAAACTCTTAGAAGAAACCAAATAGGAAAGCTTCATGACACTGGATTTGGCAGCAATTTCTTGAACATGACACAAAAGTACAGAACACACACACAAAAAAATGGATAAACTAGAATTCACCAAAATTAGTACCTTTTGAGCATCAAATAAATCTATCAGAAAAGTATAAAGGAAGCCACCAAAGGAAAGAAAATATCCACAAATCACATATTTCAGTAGATCTGTCTGTTCTGCCTCCACTCTGTCTCTATTGAGTCCTCTCACTCCACCTCCACACCTCTGGCCTATACCCCAATTCTTCTATGCATAAATAAATAAAAATAAACCTTTTTTTAAAAAGTATACAACTACACCCAAAAAATTATCCCAATTTAGCATGCTCTAAGTCTTCTTCCAAGAATAAAAAATCTGAAATATCATCAACTTCATCTCCTTAGGATGGAATATAGCAAAAAAGGCCTTCCTACAGGGTTGACATGAGTATCCAAATCTCTGGAGTATCTTGACTCCATGTCTATTAAAAGCAAGTGAGTGCCTGGGTAATTTAAAACTCCAGTAGCTAAATGACAAAGGTTACAATCATTTACAAAAAATATACAAGGATAAAATTCATATGAAAATCACTATTTTTTGGGTAAAGATTTAATTATGCATAGAAAAATTAGGTGTAGGCCAGAGGTGCCAGGGTGAATGGGGTGGGTAAGAGGATTCACCAGAGACAGAATGGGGAGAACAGGCAGATCTCTACTGAAATATACTTTTTTTTTTTTTTAAAGATTTATTTATGCATACAGAACTGGAGGTACATTTCAGTAAATATGAAAAATATTTACTGAGGGGCAATGAATGGATTCTCCAGACCCAGAGTGGAGAGCCGAACAGGCAGATCAATGAAGTACACTGCTGAGGGGAGCAGTGGGCAGGTTAGGAGAGGTCTGCCGTGCCATATGGATCACCTGCAGGGTGGGGATCAAACTCATCCTAAAGTAGCTTTAGCTTCTTAATACTGTGCTTTAACCTGCTGCACCACCAGGGAGGTCCCTGAAATATACTTCTAATGGGAGCAGTAGGTAAGAAAGGAAAGACCTCCTGCACCTTATATGGGTTAGCTCCCTGGCTAGGGATTGAACTCAGACTATAGAGGTGACAGCATGATAGCACTGAGACTTAACCTGTAAGTCATTAGGGAGGCCCATTAAATCACTCTTATTATTTTTTTTTAAGATTTTTTATTTATTTATGTATATGGTACTGGGGTACAGAATAGAGGGGCAAGGGCAGTGAGAGAATTCACCAGAAACAGAGTGGAAAGCAGAATAGGCAGATCAATAGAGTACATTGCTGAGAAGAGCAGCAGGTGGGGTCAGGAGAGGTCTGCCACTCCATGTGGATCACCTCCAGGGCTGGAGATTGAACTTGCACTGAAGAGGCCACAGTCAGCTCTGCAGTGCTGTGTTCCAACAAGCTGTGCCACCAGGGAGGGCCCTAAATCACTATTTTTAATGCAAAATATTTTATCCATCCAATTCACAGTTTTTAAAAAAACAAATATTGCTTACACACAAAAAATTTAAATGTCTCTCTTTTTTTTTTTTTGGAAGGAAACCTGACAGTATGTATTTTAAAAATCTTAAAAATACTTATATCCTGGGCTCTCCCTGGTGGTGCTATAGGTTAAAGCATCGCATTATGAAGCTCTCCGAAGCCACTATAGTACCAGTTCGATCCCCACCCCGGAGGTGACTCACATGGCGCAGCAGACCTCTCCTGACCCACCCGCTACTCCCTGCAGCAGTGTATTTCATCAGCCTGCCTGTTCTGCTCCCCACTCTGTCTCTAGTTAATCCTCTCACAGCCCCTGCACCACTGGCCTGTACCCCAGTTCTGCATGCATAAATAAATAAATCTTTAAAAAAAAAAAAACTTACATCCTTTGACCTAGTAATTATAATTCTTGGTGCAAATTCTAAAAATAAAATCTGAAATATAGAAAAAGATTTATACTCAAGAACTTAAAAGAGAGCATTATTTGTAAAAGCAAAATATGAATACCACTAAATGTCCCACAATAAGTTAGTATGGATGGAAGTTACGGCCATTTTGGGGGGAGGAAAAAGCATCCATTAAAAAATGTCTACGGGGTGGCCCTCCCTGGTGGCGCAGCGGGCTAAAGCGCAGAACTGAGAATCTGAAGCCACTTCCGCATGAGTTCGATTCCCGCCTGCCCCGGAGGAGACCACATGGCGAGCCAAACCTCTCCTGACCAGCCCGCTGCTCCCCTCAGCAGTGTACTTCGTCGATCTGCCTGTTCTGCTCCCCACTCTGTCTCTGGTGAATCCTCTCACCGCCCCTGAGCCTCTGGCCTATACCCCAGTTCTGTATGCACAAATAATAAATAAATCTTTAAAAAAAAAAAAATGTCTACGGGGCTCTCCCTGGTGGCACAGTGGATTAAAGCACAGCACTAAAAAGCTAAAGCCACTTTAGCATGAGTTCGAGTCCCAGCCCGGAAAGTGACCCACATGGCTTGACAGATGTCTCCTGACTCGCCCACTGCTCCCTCAACAGTGTACTTCATCAATCAACCTGTTCTGCTCTCCACTCTGTCTCTGGTGAATCCTCTCACTGCCCCTGCACTGCTGGCTTGTACCCAGTTCGGTATGCATAAATAAATAAATCTTTAATTCTGTATGCATAAATAAATCTTTTAAAAATGTCTATGAAGCATTTCAATATTAACTTTTTTTTTTTCTAAAGAATTGTTACAGAGGTACAGGGACAGTTAAGAGGATACAGCAGAGATAGAGTGGGGAGCAGAACAGGCAGACTGACGAAATACACTGCTGAGGGGAGCAGTGGACCGGTCAGGAGAGGTCTGCCGTGCCAGGTGGGGCAGAGTTCCAACTCATGCTGAAGTGGCTTTAGGTTCTTAATACTGTGCTTTAACCCGCTGTGCCACCAGGGAGTGCCCCAACTTTTTTTTAAAGATTTATTTAATCTGACATACAAGCCAGAGGTACAGGGGCAGTGAGAGGCTCCACCAGAGACAGAGTGGAGAGCAAAGCAGTAAGATCAATGAGGTACACTGCTGGGGGGAACAGCGGGCGGGCTGGAGAGGTCTGCTGAGCCACACGACAGAGTGGGGAGGAAAGCAGTAAGATCCACGAGGTACACTACTGAGGGGAGCAGTGGGCGGGTTGGAGAGGTCTGCTGAGCCAAGCGGATCACCTCCGGGCAGGGTATTTGACTCTCACTGAGGCATCTGTGGCCAGCTTGCAGTGCTGCATCCTGACCCCTTGTGCCACCAGGGAGCATCTCATTATTAACTTTTTAAAAGGGATATAAAGTTATAGGACCTCCTGGTTATGTGCACCCTCCCTAGTGGTGCAACAGGTTAAAGCATAGCACTATGAGGCTATGAGCAGCTCTTGCAGCATGAGTTTCATTCCCAGCCAAGTAGGTGATCCACATGGATGGCAGACCTCTCCTGACCCACCCGCTGCTCCCCTCAGTAGTTTATTTCACTCTGCCTGTTCTGTTCCCCACACCTCTGTCTTTGTTGAATCTTCGCAATCTGCCCCCCACTGCTCTGGCCTGTACCTCAGTTCTTATATGCATAAATGAATAAACTTTCAAAAAATATAATAAAAATAAAAAGGATATAACATTATATATGTGATATCTCCTCAACTTTATAAAACTGTATACAGTAAAATACTGAAAAGAAATGAGAGAAAGAAAGGTATTAACAGTGTTTTTTTCTCTGTGAGCTAGCTATATTCTTTATTATACTTTCCATATTTTGAAATAAATTTTCAAAAATAGCATGTAGTATGTTTAAAATAGAGGAGAAACATTTAAAGAAAATATTTTTTAAAAGACATGAGAATTTTTTCTTCATAAACAAATATGAAGATCAAAGGACATAAGTTGTCTACTCTTTCCCTGCCAGAATGTTAATTCTCTAACCCCTTTCCTTCTTCACATCATCTTAAGAACATTCAAAGGATCTGCCATCCTATACCCACATCTCAGCTGACTTTTGATAAAGATGTTTAGTGACTTACCAGTAGACAATGAGGAGATAGAAAAAGTACCCTTGGTCTCTTATGAAATCTCAGGTTCCTGGGTTCCCAGCAGTCCAAGGTCTTCAAAGTGCTGTTTTCCTACATAAAAGAAACTACATTGGCTTGAGAAAGCTATGTACTAGTAGGCCCTTCCAAAAACATTTCATCTCATCAAGCCATGAATAACTTCACAAAATACAGTAAATGTAATTAGGGTTGACCTTTTATCCTGAAGATACAAATTATAGTTTGAATTTGATATATGGTATATAGATTTACTTTAGAGTAAACTACAAAAAAAGGAAGTGAAGGCAATTGGAAGCCTGCTTGGGGAGAAGATGGTGAGATTTTTAAGAAGTGATTATATAGGGAGACTAGAAGGTCAATATTAAAACCAAGAAAAAGCTGATTATAACAGACAAAAACATGGGCAAAACTTAGTCAGTGTGGGAAAAGAACAGTAGCTTTCTTTTACAGATGCTGACCTGGAGCAAAGACTGAGAGGCAGTGAAAAGAAAAAGATGGCTAGAAAAGAGGATTAGTTAAAGGATTAGTTAGAGAATTATCTTAGTGATTAGGTGACTCTGGAGAGGTCAATTTCAACAGGAAATGAAGGACAGTCTGAGGCTCAGACAAAAAGAGATCATGATTTCCTTAGGTTAGGGGTTATGAAGTTATGCTATGGAGGAACTAATTAAAGAAACACGGACTTGTGTGTGATGTCATGAAAGTATATGAACAAGTCATGCAAATTATTCCTATCTATAAAAAAAAAAGTCCTGGTTCCTTACACTGCAGTAACAGATATCTGAAACCAATCAACAGAACATGAGTAATTGCGATGACTTGCTATGGAAGGAAGTCTTAGAGCTAGGTTTCTATCCTGGGGTCAGACCTAACCAAGAAAAAAACAAAACCAACATACCATTAAGAATTTTTTTCTTGTAGTGATACAATTTACTGTTTAGTATACTGAGGCATATACAGCTCTGAGAACCCATGATACTGATGAGTTGTTCACTCAAAGGTAGAAAACAGCCAACATCTAGGTTTCCATTAAACACTCACATTTTCTTTATTTGAGGATGAGTTACATATTATCTCTTTCTTCCTGTGTCTGTGGTCCACCACATTCGGGGTGCTACAGAGCAGCTGTGCCTACAAGAAATCTAAAACCATCAGTAATCTAGAGCCACAGGTGAACTGGAACTCTCTGCCTCCCACAAACTCAAACCACAAGAAAAAGGAGCTACTCACTGGATTGCATTTTATAACATGCTGGTGATGACTGCTGTAAATAAAAAACAAACAAAAAAAATAACCTGCAGTCAATTAAGCCCCAAATTCTACTGTTCAGCTATTCTTCAGTGGCTTAGGAATCCCAATTTTTCTTTCTTCCATCTTAGGAGATCTATACCTACTTCTCTTCCAATACAATGTGTAGGTTGTCCATTACGGTAAATATCAAGATATTGATTTAGCAAAACAACTTACATCCCAGCTGAGATCCTTACATCCCATTCCTGAGGTCCAAACGAGTCACAGTGACCTGTAATCAGATAGGAAGAGTACTTAACAAAAGCGTCTTGTTTTCCCTCTGGTTTTCACTGCCAGTAAGCCAAAATAATTTCAAAAGCTAACTTTTTTTTTTAAACACAAACATTCCTGGTAGGCAGCAATTTCATGATACAAGCTACCATGGTACAAGTTATTATTTCGTATAAATAGGAATTTACATGTGTCAGTGAAAGAAAAAAATTCTGGGAAGCAGTATACAAACTAATAGAAAAGAAAGGAATTCTGAAATGAGAACAAACACTAAAATGGTTGACCAGCAAAAAAACATTCCTTTTGAACACAGACTCTAAACACTTAAGAATAAAGTAACAAATTATTTCTTTATGTGGGTTTCTTTGCTTCTGCTGAGATTAGACCAGAAACATGAAACGGCATCTTTGTTAACTAATTTTTATTCCTATAAGTCAGTCAATAAAATTATTTCTTTTTCTCAAACTTCTAAAATGCAAAGTGACTCGTATCAGCGTTATCTTTATCTCCCCTTTGGCTTTATCTTTCTCATGAAAAATTCTAGCCATTCACAGAATTCAACTACAAAGCTTTCAGGTCTCCCTGGTGGTGTAGGGATTAAGTCTCAGTGCTATCACTGTTATGGGCTTGAGTTCAATCCTGGACCAGGGCACTAACCCACATAAAGCACAGTTGAACTCTCCTATCTCACCTGCTGCTCCCCTCAGCAATTTATTTCAGTAGATCTGCCTGTTCTGCAACCCACTATATCTCTGGTGAATCCTCTCACCCCCATACCTCTGGCCAGTGCCCCAGTTCTTGAATGCATAAATAAATAAATCTATTTTTAAAAAAAACTACAAGGCTCATACTCCCTTTTACCACTTCTACCTCTATCCTACAATCTAATTATCTCCCTTAAAAGTCATACTTTCTTTTGCGGTATTTACATCAGTAGTCCCTACCAGTTTCATCAAGGCCTGCAGAAGTGGTGAGCTGAGTAGCAGATATCTCCCCACTGCTATGACTGGAAAGATCAAGGCAACGTTTTGGGGTGCTTCTGTTGAAACATAATAGATCAAAATTTCCATTAGGTTGTAATATCTTTAAGACCAATACAGATCCTCTTCACTGAATCAACCCTCAATGACTATCATATCATATGAATATTGTAAATAAATCTAATTGGGAAAATTTTCAGATGTGGTTTAGAAAATTTCCCACCTTTTCTTTACTCCAATAATGTATACCTCAATTTTTTCCTTACTGACATATTGAAATAAGTGTTGTTTTTTTTTTTTCATTAAGGTCCATAGTTATTGGCCAAAAAGGCTCCTGATCCCACATCTGCCTGATGTACCAAGAGCATTCCTCAAGTCTCTAGTACTTCTGAAACAGAACTCTGTTAGCTGAAGCATTAGAGCATAGCATAACCAGAATTTTAAAGTACAATAACATTAATAAGATGCCAACAGATAAAATGCAGTAGTTCTCAAAAGACTTTTTCCAGATATCACATTATTTTCTACTTCTCTGTCACAGAAGTCTGAGGCTCCAAAGGATCACACAGTTAGTCAAGGACAGAGCTGAGACTTAAACTCTGATCTTCGAATCTAGGTAATTTTTTTTTTTAAGACATGGAAAATTTGCATGGAAAAGCAAGGAGATAGGTCAAAAAGAAAAGTAGATTTGGGCCCTCCTTGGTGGCGCAGCAGGTTAAAGCACAGCACAAAGAAGTTTAAGCCACTTCCACGTGAGTTCGACCCCGCCTGCCCCTGAGGAGATCCACATGGCACAGCAGACCTCTCCTGACCCGCCCACTGCTTCCCTCAGCAGTGTACTTCATCGATCAGCCTGTGCTGTTCCCCACTCTGTCTCTGGTGAATCCTCTCACCCTCCGCATCTCCGGCCTGTACCCCAGTTCTGTACAAATAAATAAATAAATCTTAAAAAAAAAAAAAAAAAAAAAAGTAGATTTACCCAGACAAAGTGCTTAGGTTTGCAGAATCACTAAAGAGTTTGTTCAATGGAGTTCTAGGGAGATCTGTACAGATGGTAAAGGAATTATCTCTCTCCAAGAGCAAGTTTAATATCTTCCTCTGCTTGGACCTAAAGTTAGGTCTTGAGCCAAGGCATCCCTCCTGTCTTGTGGATGATAAGTGTTCTGCAGACATGGCCTCCAAGTTCTCACTATGGGAAAAAAAAAACAAAACACCAAGTTTTCACTTCCAGTCACGAGGCAGCTGGGTGTTGATTGGGTCCCAAGGGTGCAGGATCCTGAGGAATGAAGACTTAAATCCAAGATTATGGCAAAACATTTGAAGTTCACTGCCAACTCGGTGATGGTGCAGGAAGGGAACAACAGAAGGTATATAAAGGACTCTAAACAGAATCCTAATCTTAGATGGGCTCAAGCATTAAGTACTAGAAGTCTTGCCATAGGTGAACTATAGAAAGCTATGAAACCTGCTGGCATATCTACAGTAGGGAAACAGCTCACAAGAGCAACTTCTTTTTTTGTTTTTAAAGATTTATCTATTTATGCATACAGAACTGGGATACAGGCCAGAGAGGGGCAGTGAGAGGATTCACCAGAGACAGAGTGGGGAGCAGACCAGGTAGACCAATGAAGTACACTGCTGAGGGGAGCAGCAGGTGAGACAGAGAGGTCTGCTGTGCCATGTGGGTCACCTCCGGGGCTGGGGATTGAACTGGAACTGACGCAGCTGGGCACTAACCCATTGTGCCACCAGGGAGGGCCCCAAGCGCAATTTCTTGATGGGAAGAATCAAGTAGATCTATGCAGGGCTGCTGAGGCCTGTGAATAGGAGGCCCAAAGTGAAAACCCTTATCTAACCCCATTTTCTCTTACCTCTGATAATAACCTCAGTCACATATATGCAGAAAGGCCTGCAAATACAGAAGCAATTCCTAGTCAGCAAGGGGTATTCTTTTATTAAGTGGAAGAGAAAATAAAAATGTAGCCTAGAAGTAAAATGGTGGTTGCCAAGGACTGATTGGGAAGAGAGAATGTAGAGTTATTTGATGGGTACAAAGTTTTGGCTGGGGAAGATGGAAAAGTTCTGGAAATGGATGGTGGTGACAGGCGGCACAACAGTGTGAATGTATTTAATGCCACGTAGCTGTGGCACTCACTGGTTTAAAATGATCAATTTTATCTCATGAACATTTCACTACAATAAATTTTTTTTAAGTGGTCTAGGAAAAAAGAAAAGAAACCCCATGGGGGCCTGTCTGGTGGTGCAAGGCATTAAAGCACAGCACTGTGAAGCCTATCCACAGCAGCCTCCTCAGCACCAGTTACACTCGGCCCCAGCGAGCTGGCCCACAAGGCACAGCAGACCTCTCCTGACCCACCCGCTGCTCCCCTCAGCAGTGTTTCAGTCAATCCGCCGGTTCTGCTCCCCACTCTGCCTCGGGTGAGTCCTCTCACCCACACACCTCCGGCCTACACCAGAAAAAAAGAAATTAAAAACAATTGGGAGGAGGAAGGGAGAAAGAGAGAGGAAGGAGTTAAAGATGGAACAGAAATGGAGTTTTGATTTGTTTGGGGGACACACAGCTGGTGACTCCACACTGGAAGGAACTCAGGCCGCCTCCTTCGCCGTAACGCCCAGTAGCGTCGTGGTAACGCCGAAGTTGCATTTACAGGTTCTCTCACCGGACCCTAAGGAGACCGCGGGGTCTACGCGATTCCGACTAAGGCAGCTCTGGACTTACCTCAGGTTGGAGTCTGAGCCTTGCTTTCGGGAGAAAAGGAGGTGGATGTGGGCCAGATACAATAGGAGACTCAAACAGAAGGAAGGGAACCATGAGGAAAGGGGGCCATTAACCAGGCTACCGTTGTGCTTCTGAAGCTGACAGGACCAAGCGACCCTCCAGCACGTCTCTAGACGAGAAACAACAGTCACGGCCCTCGAATTCAAACCTTCCGCCTACGATCTAGCCCTTTCGCCCCTGAGTTGACCGCAGCCAATCTTCGCGCACCCGCCCAAACTCCCTGAGCCAATCGTGTGGGTCGTACCATAAACCCGCGTTGGGCTAGCTGCTGGATAAACCTCGCCCCACGACGAACCTGGCGCATGATTGGCTGTTCCTCTAGCCAATCACCACATACAAACTGAGGGCTCCCTCCGCTCCGCCTCTCAGTCCCGGGATATTTAAATAGTTCCTTTCTTGCTACAATTGCTGGGTTATGATGGTACCGCGAGAGGTTAAATTAGGTGAAATCTAACGTTTAAACATTTCCTTTTCCTTGCTTCCTCCTCTGTTCTGACTTGTACGTTTCTCTTTTAGTTTTAGTAGCTCCCGCTGCAAAGGGAGCATTTACTTGTTTTTGTGGCTGATGATGGGGCGATACGTGTGTGTGTGTGTGTGTGTGTGTGTGTGTGTGTGTGTGTGTATGATGATGGCTGATGGTGGGGCTGATGTGGCTGATGGGCGATACGTGTGTATGTGTGTGTGATGATGATGGCTGAAGGTGAGGCTGATGTGGCTGATGGGCTATACGTGTGTGTGTTTGTGTGTGTGTATGTGCGATGATGGTGGCTGATGGTGAGGCTGATGTGGCTGATGGGCGATACATGTGGGTGATGATAATGGCTGATGGTGGGGCTGATGCGGCTGTTGGGCGATTACATGTGCGTGTTTATTCGACCAGCCTTGGTCCCGTCTAAGGACATTCCTAGTTTGGTGTTCCTTTTGGGCCAACACCATCTGAGATGCTGTTATGCTTATTGCAGTAAAGGAAATTCCTTTTCAGATAAAGTAGGGGAGTTGAAGCTTCTTGATACAGCTGGAAGAATTCCAAACTTTGGTTACTCATGAAAATTTAAACACTGAGTAGGTGATATTAAAAATGCCTTTTTAGGGGCCCTCCCTGGTGGTGCAACAGATTGTGTGCCATAGTGCACAGCACTGTGAACCTATCTGCAGCCACTGCAGCCACTGCAGCGTGGAGTTAAATTCCCAGCCAGGAAGTTACCCCACTTCGTGTGGCAGACCTCTCCTGACCCGCCTGCTGCACCCCTCAGCAGTGTATTTCAGTAGACCTGTCTGTTCTGTGCCCTACTTTGTCTCTGGTGAATCCTCTCATCCCCTGTACCTCTGGTCTGTACTCCAGTTTTCGTATGCATAAAGAAATAAATCTTTTTTGTTAAAATGTTCTTTTAATGTTAGGGATTTGCTCTTAAGTAACCCTGTGGGTATGGAAGTAGGTATAGATGAAACAAGATAGGCCAACACTGGATGGTTGATAACTGGGACTCCAATATATCAGTGCCCTCGTGGCTAATGTACCTACCACAACCCCTGGGACTCATGTTATAATGGGTATCTCTCAACTCAGTGACTTATTTAACAAGCTCCCTGTTGATGCAGATACAACTGGTGTCCTGGAACCTTCGTGTGAATTGTGAAGCATTATGTTATTCTTTGTATATCTGAAATTGTTTATAACAATGAAAAAAAAGTTTAAAATAACTTGAAAGTTCTTTTAAAGGCAACCCCACCACCACCACTCAAATGATGACTCAATAGCTCTATAGTGGGTCCTAGGAATTATCAAGGTTGATCTCATGTTGATAGAAATGCACTCATAACCCGTGAAAGGACCTTAGTGGTGATAGGGGCTGTGAGATGCAATGTAGTCTTGGGTTTTAGCCTATACCCATACCCCTTCCATGTGTAGAATCTGCTTCCCCAGATGGGTCAGCATAAGGTGCTTGCCATGCCAGAGAAGTCTCAAAATCAGACTGGGAATTAGGAGAGAATGGGATGAACTGGTTTCTGCTTTAGTGACTGTAATCACTGTGTATTTCCCAAAAGGTGAGAGGTAGAGACAGATGAAGTTGTCCTGCAGAAGCTTCAAAAACAAATAGGTTATAGAAAGTGCATGGCTAGTACTTTCTGTAGTAGGTACCCAAGTCAGTGCAGTCACAGAAATGTCATCTAAGTGGCTATGGACCAGTGTCAAATGATGGATAATACTAGGATCTGAGTGTCCTCACAAAGTTGCACCATCACTATGACAAATTCATCTGTAACCTAATCCCAAAGTTTCCAAGATTTTTTTTCAAATTGAACAAGTGATACTTGCCTATAAGACTTTTTATAACTCTGTGCTTGGTAGTGACTATTTTTACCTCACTCCTCTAGCTAACCTGGCTGATAGCAACATATTTGCCTAATTATGTGAAATGTATGTATGTATACATACATACAAAGTCATGCATGCATGTATGCATACAAACTAAATGTACAAAAGGTAGAAAGTATTTTAAAAGAATGTCCAGCACTGTCTTCTATATTTATCTTGACTTCTGATATCTAATTTACCCTTCCTAGAAGGAAAGATATTAGGGAGTTGGAAGCTTTAGTTTTTGATCTAAAGATTTACTTTTTTTGTTGAATGAGGGCATAAACATTACCTCATTATTAGGGAATCCTTAATGAGTCTCCATGATGGACTGTGACAATCTCTCCCCTTTGCCTTGACCTCTCTCTGACACACATTTGTCTTTGTCAAGTCATAAAGGTAATCAGAACTTCACACTCACACACCAAAGAAGAGGAACAGCCATCACTCCTGGGATGCCCAGGTCAGTCAGTGGGAAGAGTCTTAGGTTCCTGGGACATCTCCAGTTATCACTGGAGACAGGAGAGCAGAGAAGTATGAGCTCTATTCCTGTTACTTCCATGAGTTGTGGACTGAGCCCTTCTCTCCACTTTGCAAAGCTTTCACAGAGCATCTGAATGAACTACAAGTTCCTGTGACTGCTATCAACCCAGGCAGGAAGTGGAAAGTTTCTTAAGAGTCAATGGATTTCATTCCTTTGAATGACTTCTTTGACAACTGTCTCCAGGTCTTAGAACTCTCAGAGAATTTGGATGGAGACCAGAAAAGAGCCCAGGTAGTATTCACTGCTGAAATCTATTGGAGCAGAATCAGAGTTGGGGTCTGGTCTATGATGTCATAATTAAGATAGGGTTCAAGGTAGTAGCCCAAGAACAAAAAGGAAAATGGGATAGCAGGAAGAAATAGCAGGATATTATGTAAATATATATATATATGGTATTTAATGGAATTACATATTTAATTATAGTTAGGAATTTGAGGAAGGTGTTGAGCTGCAGTGGGCTATTTATATTTTATTAAAGGGGTATAATC